TATTTTTTATCCACTACCAACATAATATCAATATTTCTTAAATCTAAACACAACCCAGACTATAATTTTGGGACGAAAGGAGTATATATGTTGGAGTTATATTAAAAAATACTCCCTCCGTCCCATGTAATATGGGTGTATTACTGTAGACACGGAAATTTAGGTAAAGTATAATTAGTAAGTAATTAAGAAGTGTATTAGTAAAAATAATTATTATTTAGTAAAAATTATTATAGATTAAGATTAAGATACGTAAATAGTTTAATTAAAATTAAGAAAATTATAAAATTTAAAATTTAAAAGGCGATTAAAGTGCATAATTATATTTTCAAAAATTGAAAAGACAAGTTACGTAGGACAGAAAAAAATAAAAAATAAGGACAAATTATATGGGACGGATGGAGTATATATATATATATATATATATAGTATTTTAGCCCAAATAAAGTAAAACACTTATAGGTAGTGATGGCTACATGGGAAGAATATGCAGCTTCCTTCCTTTGTCATCTGCTATTGAGTCCCATGTGCACATGCTTCTAAAGAAAATGATGTTTATATATCCTATTAATTTATTTATTTTTTAATTTAATTTTAATATATATGTTATATGTTTTTTTAAAAAAAAAATAAATTAAATTGATAAATAAATATGTCATCCTTATCTAGAATTTTGTGGATAGGATAAGAATAAACACTTTTGGAGATTCAAGGTAGCATTATTTGTATATTGTCCTCAAATCAAGTATATGTTTACAATGTGTAGGGACCATAGTGATGGAAAACGTCACATTCACTAATTTATTTCTATGTAAATGTATATTATATATTTTTAAAAAACAATATTATATTTTATTATTTAAATTAAATTTCAAAATTCTATGAATTGCATTTAAGGAATTATTTAAAGGTTGTATAGTGTTGTTTTATGTGTAGGAATTATTTTTTTTATTATTATTATATATATTATCCATTAAAATATAACTGAGGAAGATTGTAGTTAAACTTTAATAAAATAAAGATATATTTCCACGCCTTAAATACGTACTTTCGGGTAATGACTGCGGATTTCACGTTATCAAATACTCCATCCGTCCACTTACAAAGTTTATATTTACTTTTGGCGCGGTGTTTAAGAAATAATAGTATTTTAATTATAGTGAGTAGTTAAAAGTAGTGTAATGATATTTTTGCATTTATTTTTTTTTGTGTAAAAGTAATGATGTGATGTAAAGTAAGGGTATTTGTGGAAAAAAATAGGATATTTAATGAAATATTAACTTTGTAATTTGACGTCCTAAAATAGAAATATGTAAACATTGTAAGCGGATGGAGGGAATATATGTCTATGTATATATCAAGTAATATTTAAAACATACAAGAAAACAAGCATATTTGAATAAGTGGGCCTCAATTTTATTTTATTTTGGTCAAGAGGTATTGATCCTATATTTCTAATAATGGGCTAATTCATTGAAAACTATACTTATGTATATATATATATATTAGAATATAAAATTGGTGGGCTCGTAGTTATATGTCACGTGTATGGTTTCAGACTATAGTACTTTATTTTTTTTGTTTAAATGAAAAAAATAAATAAATATTGGATATGATATTATAAGGGAAAAAATTAAAATTAGTTCCACTATAATCAAAGTTTATTAATTTTGATTCTAATATAAAAAAAAGTTCATCAACTTTAATTTATTATAAATAATTTTAATCTATATCAGTCTTACTGGTCAAAAAATTAATATAAATTGCTCACATGGACGTAATGGGATTAATGTAATAATTAAGTTGGACACAATACGACTGTATAAAACAAAACACGATCGTATTCCCATAGTTAGCATATTCTTAAAAAATGAAACTCGGTAGTATTTTATGTATACACGGCCGTGTCCATAATTTAGCGCCAGCAGTGTAGAAAAAAAAATGGAAAAAGAGAGAAAAAAAGTAATCTAACAGAAATAAACGAAACTTGCACGTGGACAACGACAAACGAAAGACGGTGGGGCTCGAGACCTAAAGCTCTAATACCATATTAGATAATCAGAATGAAACGTTCAGGTGAGACGACCACTTACATCTTTTAGAATGCTAAATTATGTATAGGAAAAACACGGCCATGTTTTGCTTTCTAGAATATGTTGTCTATGCAAACACAACTTTTATTTTACACGGCTGTATTGTATCCAATTCAGTGGTTACGTCAATCCTATTATGTTTAGGCTATCAATTTCTATTGATTTTTCAATAGTGGAATTAATATTGATTGAAATTATTTTGTTGATTTTCCAATAGTAGAATTAGTATTGATTAAAATTATTTATAGTGATACCAAAATTGATGATTTTTATATTTAGACCAAAATTAACAAATTTTATTTATATTGGTACTAGTTTTGATATTTTTATATTACTATTAACATAGTACTATTTTTGTTCATAAGTTATGTTTAATTAATATATATGTTTAATTAGTAAATTTGTTTTCATATGATAATGATAATACTAAAATATTCTTATATTTTTATACTATATAATATACTTCATCCGTCCCATAAATATAGTTTTAATTGGGTTGGATACGAGATTTAAAGAATATTAATATTATATTGGTAGTTGATAAAAAGTATAGATAAAAGACTTTTTTGCCCTTGTGAGTGTATTAGTGTAAAAAGTAGCAACAATTGTGTAATAAAAAAATATGGGTAGTTTTATGGTGATATGATTATTTATGGAAATAAGACTATTGTTTTGAAACGAACAAAAATAGTAAACAAAACTATTGTATTGAGACGGATGAAATATAAGATAATAATATTTATTAATTGAAGTAAATATATAATGATTTAAATTAAAAATAATTATCAAATATAATATTTTTAAATTAATTCACCATATGATATAATAAGAAAATAATAGATATGACTCAGGTCATCTGTCATGTTCACCTAGCGTGACTTACCTGGCGGGCCTAGTTTGCATATATTAGATTCAAATGGAGGTTTATCCAGTGTGCACTTTCGGATAGCGACTGCAAATTCCTACGTCATAAAAAATATAGTACATATAACTTAATAATATGAATGTGAATGCGATGAGCAACTGACCATACATGATTCATTACTATTTTTATTATTTAACTTTAGATTATTGTATTATTATTATTACTATTATTATTATTATTATTATACTTGTATTTTCTAAACTTAGAAATAACATTATTGCTGCATAAGTTCAAGGCACAAAATACAACTATACAAGATTACAAGATAGTCAAATTAGCATCGTATTGACTTGAATGAGCCGGCACATATATATAACACATGTAGACATCACATGGATTTTTTTATTTTTTTTTATTATTATTATTTTTTATGTGTAGTTCATATTTATAGTTATAATGTGTGAATTTGTTAAGTCATATATTGTATTTATATAATCTTAACATAGATTATATGTTGTCTATAATTATATCGTGTGTTGACCGTCAACACTGTATTAAAAATTATACGAGGAGAATCGTTTGTTAGGAATTTATGAGGCGGTTGTGTACCACTGTTCCTTCCATTTTTTTTTTCTAAAAAAATATCAAATCAAATATTTTTTTTTTTTTATATTATACTAAAAAATTAATTTTATATTCAGAATATTACATCAACACCTATTTATATCACATCATACAACTATTCAAATTCAAAATTTTTACCATTCAAATCACAACTCAAAATCCAAACTCCCAAACAAACACACCCTTAAAGTAATAGAAAAAAATTTAAAGTGGTAAGTTGGGATGAATAAATGCACCATTGTTAGCCTCAAGGAAAAATACCTAATCTATATTGAAAGATACTATGTGAATTATAAATAAAATATATAAATATATATATAACTGACAATGTATGATAGTTATTTATACTATTTATGTTAAGATTGATCTCAATACAAAAAATATACTAACAATGCATAAATATATACTCTCTCCATCCCAAAATTATAGTATGGGTTGTGTTTTGTACGAGATTTAAGGAATATTGGTATTATATTGGCAGTGGGTAAAAAATACGAGTAAAAGACTTTTTTACCCTTACAGGTGTATTAGTGTAAAAAGTAGTGACAATTGTGTAATAATAATGAAAAAATAAGGGTAGTTTTATAGTGATATGATTATTTATGAAAATGAGATTATTGTTTTAGGACAGATAAAAATGGTAAATAAAACTATTGTATTGAAACGAATGGAGTATTATAAATTAACAGTAGATTGTAGAATCCACATAACACATACTTGTGCTATTGAGTCAAAATGAATGATGAAGTATTATCTTTTCAAGATTTTAGGTTAGCTTCTTTGAGAAATTGATCAAGGCATTTGCCTATTACAATTATGTATAACTAAAGAAGTCCACCATCAAATTTCCTAGGATAATATATACATATATATATATATATATATATTGTAGAATTTATTGTAATAGGTTAGTGGTTGAGGAGATTTTACCATTCAAGACATATATAATATTTTTTTCATCCCTTAACAAACTATTTATTTTTTTATTTTGGTCTGTCTTATAATAAAGTATTTTTTTTAGTAACAGTATTTTTATATTATACAATAGTAATAAGATTATTTTAATCATTTCTATTTTATTCCTACTGTATATCAATATAATAATAATATAATTTAAACTTCTTACAAAAAATAAACAAATATATAATTAAAGGACGGATAGAGTATAAAATCAACACAATTTACCTTTTTCTTAATACAGTACATATTTGTATTGTTTTTTTTTTTTTATTATTATAGATTGTACTGAAATCAACTATAACAGATAATACATATCATGATGAAATATAACAAAATTTATAGTTGATTTTAATACAATCTATAATATCAAAAAAATAATAATAATTATATAAATTTATTTAAGACAATATATATATATATAATGTTAATTTTTTTTTTATACCATGTGGTAATGGTATCTATGTGGGTTTTATGTCATGAAACATCAAAGACCAGAGCGATGACTGAACGCCGCCACCATCTCCGCCGGCGCCGTTCAATTTGGGGCTGAGATCCCATCGGCTCATCGGACTTATCTTCTTCTCCCTATTAACCAACGGGCTGCACCTCCACGAATTCGCCATTACCGATCTCCCATCAAGCGGACCCGAAAACGATACACAGACACCGCCGCCGCACTCCGCCGCCGCCGCCAACGGCCCCGACCACATACCCCTACGCGCCGCCGCCGCATTCGACGCTGGAAACTTGCTTCCGATCCTCCGAATTCCAGCCCACCTGGCGGCAATGTTCTTTTTGAGGAGCTTTCTCGTCTTGTTAATGGCGGAAACGAGCCTGGACGACGGCGACGGGGGTTTTCCGCCGGCGGCGCGCTTGAGGATCTCGAGGCGGTGCTTGGCGACGGCGACGCCGATGCTCTGGAGGAAATCGTGGGTGAAGAGAGGCAGATCGTCCTCTTGGAGATCGTTCCCGACGAATACTCCGGCGTAGTGATACACCATTTTTGGATCGATGTTTGTCTTAGATAGCCATGAGTACCAATCCATAATCAATCTCCACTTTCTACGTCTACATATACATATACATATACATATATAGAGAGAGAGAGAGAGTTGTTATGTGGGATTTTTATTTTTCTTTTTTTTTTTTTTAACAATGAAAATTTCATATATATATATATATATATTTAAGCATGTTACAAATATTATACTCCCTACATCTACATAAAATATAAAGATGCGGTGTTTAAGAAATAATAGTATTTTAATTATAGTGGCCAGTTAAAAAGTAATATAAAGATATTTTCGCCCTTACTTTTTGATGTAAAAGCAATGATGTGAAAGGGTATTTGTGGAAAAAAAGTAAAATAATTAATAAAATATTTATTTTGTTGGACATTTCAAAATAAAAATATGTATACTTTCTAATGAGAGGGGAGTACAATATTTCAAAAATATGAAATAATTAATTATTTTTTATCTCATCATATCATTTAAATATAAAATAATTAATTATTTTTTTATCTCATCTTATTATTTAAATAGAAAATAATTAAGTATTTTGTAATTGGACGATCCAAAATGTTGCACAGCCATATCTAGTGTGTCATGTGCACTATAGAAATAAAAATTTAAGAGATGTATAATTAATAAATAATTAGAAAATATATTAATAAAACTAATTGTAGTACAATACAAATAATTATATATTAAAATTAAATTAATTAAATAAAAAAAATTATAGAGTAAAAAAAATTAAATGTGTATTTTTTTTCCCGAAAAATAAATAAAATATAAGATGTGAGACGAAGTAAAATTGCAACATGAAAGGAAGATATATGATGAATTAAATTGGCAATGTGGAAAGAAAATATGAGACAAATAGAGTGAAAAATAGAATTAGTATATAATTTGTTTGATTATGTTTTTTCCAATTTTCTTCCAACCATCGTTATTATTTACTCCCCCGTCTCAGATATTTTGTGCGTCTTACTGTAGCCACGAGAATTTAGTAGGAGTATAATTAGTAAATAATTAAAAATATATTAGCAAAAATAATTATTCTATAATAAAATAACTTATTAGTATAATTAAAATTTAAGAAATATAAATTAAATTTTTAAAAATAAAATTAAAGTGTATAATTCTTTTCCAAAAAAGGAAAGTGACAAAATAAGTGGGATAGACGAAAATGGAAATGTAGACATGAAAAGTGAGGCGAGAGTATTATATACAATAATTTATTTATTTTTCTCCATTTTATTTAATACTTCTTCCGCCCTGCTGCAAGAGTTCCATGTTATTGTATTTAATATTAAAATATTTTTATATTTGTATAATTTTTATATAAATGTTATTATATTAGTATTATAAGATATTGATAGAAGTATTTATGTTTTTTTTATGATTTATAGTATATTTTGATATAATAATTAATATTCGAATATCAATATAAAAAAAAAAAAAATTAAACAATTGCAACATAACAGAAATAGTATATTACATCTAAATTATATTTAAAATAACACATTAAATACAATTAATTATTCATATCGTAGTATTAAATAATTATTAAAATTGAGTTTTTATAATTGTGTATTTGTTAGGTTTTTAAATTAAAATCAATATTATTTAATGGATGCCAAAAATATGGAAACTACCTATTACTTATAAGAGCTATTCCACTTAATACTCATTAATTTTAATTGAAATTTCAAATCTTTTTCTTAAATTATATTAAATATGTATAAAATAAAAAACGATAGGACATTTATCGGGTATTAAGAGAAACCCCCGTCTTGGATGGCCTTGGAACGCTGTTGTTTTTATTTTTATTGCTAATATTCCCTCCCTCCCATAACTATGTATTCATTTATTTTTAGAAATATTAGTATTATATTAGAATGCAGTAGGAATAAAGTAGAAATGACAAAAATAACCTTATTAGTATTGTGTGATATAAAAGTAATGATATTTGTGTAATATATTGTAAGTTGTAGGGGTATTTGTAATGTTAGATAGATAATACAATTACTAAAAAAAAAAAAAAGGAAATAGATACTTTGTTATGAGACAAACTAAAATGGAAAAATGAATAGTTTGTTATGGGACGGAGGGAGTAGTTTTTTTTATACTCCCTCCATCCCACATACCATATCCACGTTGTCGTTTCTGTCCGTCTCACATTTCATACCACTTTTCTTTTTTGGCAAATGATTACATATTTTAATCTCAATTTAAACTTTTTAATTTTTTTTTAATTTTAATTAAACTAATTAGTTATTTTAATTTTAATTAATAATTATTTATATTATAGGATAATTATTTTCACTAATACATTCTTAATTATCTACTAATTACACATCTCCTAAAATATCGTGTCTACACGGTATATGGGACGGAGAGAGTATATAAGTATCACATATTTAAGATTAATTTTTCATTTAAAATATTTTATTCAAATATAAAATTAAATTAAATTTAACAAAGTTATACCTTGAAATGAATTTCGACACAAACAAGAATCCATGCCGAAGATGGATTCACAAGTAGGATAGGATCTCTATATAGCAACGTTAGATTGTTGATTTTATACGGTAATGATCTATACTCTCTCCGTCCCAATAGAGTTGTCTTGTTTTTTCATTTTCGTTCGTCTCAAAATAATTGTTTTGTTTCCTTATTTAGTAATTGTAGTCTCCATAACAAAATTATTCTTACTTTTCCAAACTACCCCTAATTATTACTCTAATATATTTTTTTAAATCATTCAAATAGTAAGGGTATTTTAGTCTTTTACATTCTACTTTATACCTATTTTCAATTAAATACTATTATTTTTTAATTTCGGTGTCCACTCCTAGTAAGATATCTTTTCTGAGACGGAGAGAGTACAATATATATTATAATTGATCTCAATACAATATATATATATATATATATAATTGATGACAGTATATAATAATAATTCAGTATTAATTCAAATTCAGTTATATATATATATATATATATATATATATTGGTAGGATACTTAAATTTTCACATGTGTTGTAATAAATAAAATTGACATATTTGAACCACTCGATTGACCAAATTGCACATTAACCTCAACTACACCATTTAAAGGTATTTCAAACCATAAACCTAACTACTACTTTATAGTTTTCCCATTTTATTAGTATTTATTACCAATCAATTTGGACCCAATTGGGTTCTCTTTTGACACTCATCACCTAAAAATTAAAAAATTAATTAATTAATTAAAATCCCGACGCTTTCAGATCTATCTGTCACACATTATTCTTCTAGTTTGACTTACTTTATCGGGCTTAGTTCACAGAGTATTTATTATGCCGGAATTTACCGAGTAGCAATTACGGATTTCTCACGTTATCAATAAATAAATAAAAATTTCTCACAGACTATTTTTCAAGTGTGCACCGAATAAATATCTAACTGAAAGTATTAGCCTGTAAGGTAAATTTGGATGATGAAGTTTCTTCGTTTTAATATTTTTATTTTTATTATGTAATACATTTTTAAGAGTAAAATTGTTTATAATTTATGTTTGATTTAAAAATTGCATAAATTTTTCTCGTATTTTAAATGAATATTGCAAAAATAAATAAATAAATAAATAAAATCATTTTTTAAGAGCTCTTTTTCAATATTTTCTAAAACATAAGGCAATATTACACAATTTTTAGAGAATTTTGTATAACATTTTCTAAATACGAGCTAGCTCATATAATTTTAAATCATAAAAAAGAATATGGTATAAATCTCACATACCATGTATGAATTATAAGAAATTTTACTTTATTTTTTCGTATAAAATACTTCCTCTATCCAGCTAGAAACTATAAATATTTTTATTTTGGGACGTCTAATTACAAAGTAAACATTTCATTAAGTACTTTACTTTTTTTCACAAATATCCGTATTTTACACCACATCATTACTTTTACACCAAAAAGCAAAGGTAAAAATGTTATTACACTACTTTTAACTACCTACTATAATTAAAATACTATTATTTTTTAAACACCATGCCAAAAATAATTGTATATTTTATGTGTGGACGTATTACATTTAACAATAATTTTACCAAAATTATAATATATTAAAACTCAAATACACAAATATAAACACTTAAAGAACACACACCTATTATATTATTGCTTCTAACTATTTCTTGCTATTTGTAAATAATTACTCCTATCTCAAAATTGTTAGCACACATGTTTGAGGATGTGATTGTTTGTAATATGCAATTTTTAATAAAAATATATTTTTTAAAAAAATAAAAATTAATACCTTTTTTTAATATATTAGTATAGAACTAAAGGTCCCATTTTTATTAAATCTAATTTTGGTCCTATTATTCATGTTATTTTCATCAAAACCATCAAATCATATATTTATTGTTTAATTAATACATTATATAAACAAATATTTTTATATTGTTATATCCTAATATCACTTACTAATGTGACATGTGTTCTAAACTTTATTTCAAAATATTATTTAAAACTAGCCAATATATAAAACAAAATTATAATGAAATATGACAATGGAATACATAGAAATACAATTGAATTATATTTCGATATTTGATGTTAGTTACAGTGTTGGCTTAAAAAATAACCAAAGCCAAATTCTCATAAACATTCTCATAAACATTCTAAAGCTCGTTTGAATTGGCTTAAAAAATAAGCAGAAGCCAAGAGTAGAAAAAACAGTTCGATTTTATATTTTGTGAATAATTATAAAAGCTGTTTTTGCTTTTGAGGATAAGCCAATACAAATATGAATAAATAATTTTTTTTTTAGAAATAAAAGCAAAATATATATATATATATACCAATTATAATATTTATTATTAATTTCTCAATTATATATATACCAATTATAATATTTATTATTCTAAAAATAATACAATTTATTTAATTTATACATATAAAAACATATAGATCTATTTATTTTTAGACAATTATATTTTTCGGTTGTTATATTTTAAAAACTATGTAGTTTGGTATTGATTGGATCTAATTTTCGGTCACTACATTGTAATGATATATACACTATATATTTGTTGAAAGTCTTTAAAATATTGATAAGTGACAACTCTAGAAGTAGCGATTACTAATACAAATATATCTTTTCGGTATTATTTTTTAAATTTTGATTTTTCATTTTTTCTAATTTAGTTGTTTACTCCTACAATGTCGGGTTTTGATTTGAATTTAAATATTTTATTTATTTTTTTGTTTAACTAATATTTTTATATAATATTTTAGAAAAATAATTATACAACATATTTTTATTAAAAATTATATAAACTGAATAATAATAATAATAATTATGACTTAAAAATAAAATTATACAAATCCTGATTTTTAGTATTCTTTTTTTTATTATATATGCCACATTTAAATAATAATAATAATAATAATAATAATAATAATAATAATAATAATTCCCTCAAATCTCAACTTCAATATATGAGATAAGATAAAATAAAAACAAATTAAATATATTTACCTATATTAATATCACGTATCCATAACAAATAATATATTTACCTATCAATTAATATATTCGAATTTTTATTTTCAAAACACACAATAATATAATATATATATATAAATAAAATAATAAAAAAAGAACAAGTCCAAATCGCGTTGTAAATCCCAGCTTCGTCTTCGGCGTATTTGTATTATTACCACTTGTTACTCAACTCACCACTTTCAAAACCTCTTTACCCGCACCCCATCCCCACCCCACCCCACCCCCACCCCACCATTCAATCTTTCTCCTAAACTCAAAATCCAAAAAAAATAAATCAGACAAACAAAATACAAATCTATACTATGCGTTGTTTGGCATTATGGCTGAGGAAACACACACCAAATGTCCGAATTTTAGCCCATCAAAATCTCAGAAACTACTACAAGCACCATGATCGCCACCGCGCCGGCACCGGCGCCGGCGACCCAGCCTTTCTGGCATCGACGGTGCTGCTCGTCGGATCGGCATTCGGCCTCCACACGATCTACGGTGGAGATTCATCCGTATCGTATGCAGATTCCGGAAGCCAATTGAAGATGCAGCCGGAGAAGAAGCCGATTTACTTATTCAAAGGTAATTTGGTAATTTCCGTCGCTTAAATTTCATCGCCGGATCAACGCTAAATTTTACAATACGATCGTCAGATTCTTACCGGAGAAAGGTTTTCTTCAAATACGAGAAACGGATTCGCACGCAAAGTCCTCCGGAGAAGGTAATGCGATCGATCGAATCGATCTGTGTATCTGACTGATGATAAATGATCGTCTCACCTAAAAGCTTAATTATATACAGGTTTTCGAATATTTCGCATCTTTCCACACGCCGTCAGGAGAAACTTACATGACGCCCGCCGACTTGATGCGGGCCGTCGTCCCGGTGTTTCCGCCGTCGGAGACGGGCGCCGTACGCGGAGGATTTCTTAAAGGCGAGCTCGTCGCAACCGACCTACATTGTCCTCCTTCCGACTTTTTCATGTTGTTCGATACCAACAACGACGGCCTCATCTCATTTCCGGAGTTCGTACATATATATATATATACACGTATGTCGATGAATCTGCAGTCGTTACTCTTTACGATAAATCCGTTCCGTTCGTTCGATTCGATCGTAACAGGTACATATTCTTCGTGACGCTGCTAAGTATTCCCGAATCGAGCTTCTCCGTAGCGTTCAAAATGTTCGACCTAGACGGAGACGGGTAAGTACGTAAGAATCGATCAAATGTTCTAAACGAATTCGACTCGACTTTAATGTCGTCGTAACACGATCCGCGCAGCGGCATCGACAAGGACGAGTTCAAGAAAGTAATGTCGCTAATGCGCAGCCAAAATCGACAAGGAAAAACTCACCGGGACGGTAAGCGAATCGGGCTGAAGGTCAGTTCGGGATCCATCGAGGACGGTGGCCTCGTGCAACTCTTCTTCGGGAAAGACGGGAAGGATCGACTCAGCCACAACCGATTCGTCGAGTTCTTGCGAGACCTACGCGACGAGGTACAAGAACGCGGTTATAACATTTTTTCTCGATCATATGTAATAAGCTTTTCGCGGAATCGTTTTTGTAACAGATGCTCCGGTTAGAATTCGCTCACTATGATCACAAGTCGAAAGGGATGATCTCCGGCAAGGACTTCGTTCTATCGATGGTGGCGTCGGCGAACATCCGCTACATCGACAAGTTCCTCGACCTCGTCGACGATTTAGACGGCGAGCCGTCGCTGAGAGACTTGTCGATCACGTACGAAGAGTTCAAGAACTTCGCCGAGCTACGGCGACGGTTGGAGCCCTTCTCGATTGCGCTCTTCAGCTACGGGAAAGTGAACGGTTTGCTCTCGAAGAAGGACTTCAAACGAGCGGCTAAACAAGTAAAATCACGACCACAATTACGCGCACATATATACATTTACACATTCGAAAATCGATAATACTCTTACCTCGAAATTTTTCTTCGCGAATTCGATGCAAGGTCTGCGGCATCAGCCTCACCGACAGAGTCATCGACCTGGTGTTCTTCGTCTTCGATACAAACCGCGACGGGAGTCTGAGCTCCGATGAGTTCCTTAGAGTGCTAGAGCGACGCTCGGGCGAAGTCTCGCCTGCCCGCGAAGCCGGTTTACGAGGCGTCGTATCGTGTTGGCTCGATTGCACCGTCAACTGTTCTTCGAAGAAGCTGTCTATGATTCAAGGTTGATCGCATATAAAGCCATACATGTAAAGAACTCAAGAAAATGTATTCGAACACATATCGGCATCGCCCCTCGACTCAAGTAGTGACGTATTCTAGTTAAGTTCTTCTAAGAAAATGAACGTGTAGATTACGAGCATACGCAAAAACTATTCGGAAAGGTAAATCGAAGCATCAATAGAGATGGTAATAACACAAGAGTTAAGTTTAACAACGCAATCGAACTCAACGACAATTCAATCGATGTACACGAACAATTAGCGCTACACGAAAAATCGCTTACGCTCTTTGGCTCGATCGAGCCAAATGTAGCAGACATATTCTAGTTAAGTTCAAGTGTAGATTACGAGCATACGTAAAACGATTTGAAATGGAAAATCGAAGCATCGATAGAGATGGTAATAACACAGGAATTAAATCGAACTCAACCACAATTCAATCGATATACACGAACAATTAACGCTACACGAAAAATCGCTTACGGTCTTTGGCTCGATCGAGCCAAATGCAAAGCAAGAGCATCCCGAATTCTCATCCCAATCTCGTCGCTGTCTCCATCATACGCTCCGACAACACAACCCTCGTTGATTTCATCGTCGTCCTCCGGAAACACCTCGCTACACTTGATGAGAAAATTGTGTAACAAACAACACGCGACAATTACAAACGGAAACGCCTCGACTTGTCCCTTCCATTTTTTCGCGACAAGATTCCATCTTTTCTTAACCTTCGAAAACGCCTTCCCGGCGATTTCAATCCCCCGTCGATGCACCCTATTGAACACCATTTCCGACGAACTCGAGGAGCTATTTGGATTCGAATACGGAGTTAATAGCCATGGCAAAAGGGGATAACACGAATTGCCTAATATATATTGGGGAATCGACATTCCCGAATTTAGTTCGTACGAGGGACCGATCATATACTCCTTCGATTCCTCAATGCCGCGGTAAAGCTTCGATCTTTTTAAGACATTGTCGGGTTTCGTCGCGCCGGGCCAGCCGGCGGAGACATCTAAGAACCTCCCTTCGGAGTCTACCAATGCTTGGACTAATAAAGAATCTTTGGCCGCCATTGGAGACTCCAATTCGAAGCTTTGGATTCCTAAAACTCCACAGCAATTTGGGAGGGAAATCCAGCCGAATCCTACGACGATTCGATTGATATCCGACGAGAATTCGAACAAATGGCCGAGGTTTTCGACGATGGCCTTGCAGACGGAATAGAAGGCGCGGCAAGCCGTCGGAGAATCGAGGGAGAAGCGGCGGGCGACGGAGGAGAAGGAGGCTGCGTGCGACAGCCGGAAAAGAGTGGCGGCGAGGGCGGCATTGGGGGGGAGGGGGTGGAGGGAGGAGGAGGAGAGAGAAGGGGTGAGGAGGCGGAGGAGGAGAGTGAATGAGGGTTTGGAAAGATTGAAGAACTGGGGCCATCGGAGATCGGATTCCGGCGAGGAGAGGAGGGTGTCGAACCAGGTCTGCGGCGGCGGAGGCGGCGGCGGAGGGATTGGGGGGGAGGGGAGGGGGAGGAGGGAGAAGAGGCGGGAGAGGGAACGGGAGGTGGAGGAGAGGAGGGATTCCAAGTGGAGGGACTGGGCGGGGGAGAGGCGGAGGTCGTGGCGGAGGAGGAAGGAGTGAGCGGCGGCGACGGCGGAGATGAGCGGCGCGATTGCTCTGGAGAGGTGGTTCTGATGGGATCGGGATTTGGCGAGTTTGCTTTGGGATCTGAAGTTCAGCTGCTGGTGGCGGTGATGGTGGTGGTGGTGGTTTGTTTTCCTGCCACGGCGGCGTCCCTTGGAGGATCCGCCGGCCGGAGCCATTCCGGCGGTGACGATTTGGAGCTGAGCTGCGTTTGGGGTTTGGATTACTGTCTCTATACTGTGGGCGTCTTTGTCTGATTTGTGATTGGAGTGCCTTTGTAGGATTTATTTATTTCTTGCTTTTAATTCTAATCAGGGATCCGTTTGTTTGTTTTTGTTTTTTAATATAAATTAATAGGATTTCAATTTGTTTGATTTTTTAAAATAAAAATAATACCTTACGTTTTAATATCATTTTTTCAATTTTTTTTTTATTCAAAACAAAAATATTATTTTTTAATTTAGTAATTGTATTATTTATTTATAATAATTAATATCTTTACTATTTTTAATATATTATAGAAAGATTATTATTTTTATATCACACAATTTGATAAAAGTATTTTTATCTTTTACTATAAATTAATACTCTTTCTCCCATTTAATATGAGTTCAGATATAAAAATTTAAATAAAATATAATTAATAATTAATTAAAAATTATATTATCATAAATATTTATTTTATAATAAAAATAATTATAAATTATATGGTAGACGGATTTTAGAGAAAAGACGGATGGTAGATAGATTTGAAATGCAAATAGTAGACAAATTTCAGATTGCAGAACATATAAGCAGCAGATATGACATTGCAGACGAGATAAATTTTTAAAATTAAAAAAATAATAAAATTTAAAATATAATTAAAATATATAATTATATTTAAAAATAAAAATGACAGATTACATAAGGGACAAATTCCCAAGAAATTATGTGAGAAAACAAATTGTGCTGTGATTTTATAGGACCTAGATAACACAATTTTTTAAAAAAATAACAGGAAAAATGATTGGGTGAAAATCTTTTTTAATTTTATGTTGGCCACAAATTTGAAAATAAAAATAATATTATTATTATCCGCGAAATACTTCGCCACTGCAAAATGGACGTCTCCCATCTCCCCGCCACTACTCTCCGGCCACCGGCCAGGCGGAGCTCCGCCGCCGCTCCTTCCTTCGTCTACCTTCCACCGATCAAATACGCACTCAAAACCAGAAGAATCTCACCCTCTCTGAAAACCGGCGACCAAACGGCTCTCAAGCGAGCAGTTACCACGAGGAGCATCGCTCAAGAAGAAGTCTCGCCGAAACCAACGGCGGCTGCCGCCGCCGCCGCCGTCGACGCGCAGAAACTGGTGGACTTCCTGTACGCTGATCTCCCCCACCTTTTCGACGATCAAGGAATCGATCGAACGGCGTACGACGAGCGCGTGAAGTTCCGCGACCCAATCACGAAGCACGACACCATAAGCGGTTACCTCTTCAACATCGCAATGTTGAGGAAGCTCTTCAACCCTAATTTCGACCTCCATTGGGTCAAACAGGTTCGATTCTTAATTCAACCAACGCCAATTGCAAATAATATGCGCAATTTAGGCAATGGATGAAACCCCGCACCTAGGGTTCAATAACTGACTGAGGTTTTTGCAGACAGGGCCGTATGAGCTAACCACGAGATGGACAATGGTGATGAGATTCATTCTTCTGCCATGGAAGCCCGAGCTGGTCTTCACAGGGACCTCCGCCATGGGAATCAATCCTGAAACCGGCAAGTTCTGCAGCCACATGGTAAGGTGTTAATCAATCCCCAAATTGGAATACACTATGGTCAAATTTGGCACCTCATTACACTTCTTCGATCAAGGATTATTGGGATTCCATTAAGAACAACGAGTACTTTTCGATAGAAGGTTTGCTGGATGTGATCAAGCAGGTATATAATGCAATCAAAATCTCTCTGGTTTACGGATCGAATACACCTTAAATTTGTTGAATTCACAGTTGCGAGTGTACAAGACTCCAGACCTCGAAACACCAAAGTATCGAATACTGAAAAGAACAGCTAATTATGAGGTCTGTGTTGTTTCTTTCCATGGATATGCAGGGCATATGTTAGTAGTTTTCAGGAATTTTCATTGTGCAGCTTTCGATTTTCTGTGTTGTTCCTTTCCATGGATATATGCAGGGCAAATGTTTGAAGGTTTTTCAGGGATTTTTCGTGATGTTTGTGCAAATTACTGCGCATTGTTTGATTTTGAATATTTGGCTTAAGATTTCGATGTATCTGTAATAGGTGCGCAAGTACGAGCCGTTCATTGTAGTGGAAACAAGCAGCGACAAGCTATCGGGTTCGAGTGGCTTCAATTCAGTCGCAGGGTAAGATTTTTTTTACTAACTTGTTAACGAGCATACACTTAACATCTATACGAACCATTCGTCTGTTAGGTATATATTTGGGAAGAATTCTTCAGCAGAGAAAATTCCAATGACGACGCCGGTGTTCACACAGGCATTCGACGCAGAAACCTCCAAAGTGTCCATTCAAATAGTTCTTCCATCCGAAAAAGATATGAACAGGTGAGACACAACCAAAAAGATTATATTTTGCCGGAAAATGATGAACATTTTCATATAGCATCGAATAGTCTATATTACAATCATTGTTGTGTGCGTAAATTGTCCGAATGGTGATTTGTGGTTAGTTTGCCGGCGCCAAATCAAGAAGAGATCAGCTTGAGGGAGGCCGAAGGAGGCATTGCAGCTGTGTTGAGATTCAGTGGGAAACCAACCGAGGAAGTTGTCCGCGAGAAGGAAAAAGATCTTCGATCGAACCTTGTAAGGGATGGCTTGAAACCGAAAACCGGTTGTTTGTTGGCGCGATATAACGATCCCGGGAGTACATGGAGCTTTATAATGGTAAGCTTTACGGGCTTTACGCACTCGATTGATTTGCCGGGAACGGCTACTTATGTTTCCAACTTTGTTTTCGTTCTATTCATCAAAATTTCATTTTCGAAAAATCGATTACATCCTCTACCTATCTTTTGTTTAAAACATTTTGAGGAAAATATTGTTGGTTATAAGTGTTATTTCATTAAATACCTCACTTTTTTTTACATTACATCATTACTTTTATATAAAAAGTGAAGGAAAAATATATTGTTATAATTAAAATATTATTATTTATGAAATTTCGCGTCATAACTAAAACGTAAATATCTACTTTGTAGCCGGATAGAAGAAGTGTTTTTTACTATTTCCAAAACATATTTTGGCTTCTTTTATTTGGTGACGTTATTATTTATTTTTTTCAATTTCTTGGTGATTAGTTTTTAAATTATTAAAAAAATCAGCAAGTAAACAAAAAATATTTGTTTATTTATTTCTTATAGGAGTATTTTCTCATTTTAGATGATTGGATTAATTTTGATGATTGGTTTTATGTGAAGAGGAATGAAGTAGTAATATGGATTGAAGATTTTTCATTGGATTGAACCAACACGCCCACCTTCCATAATTGGTAAGGTTTCCTCTTTGGATATAATTATATTCTTTTCAATAGTATTATTATTATTATTATTATTATTATTATTTTAATTGAATATGTGTGTAAGATGGGATCCATATAAATTTAATTACATATTTACTTATGTTATTCTTACCATGAGTTAATGTAGATATATTATGTACTTGAATCAATGAGTACATATACGTATCATCGTATGCATAGAAGTATATTTTATATATATATATATATTGACCTAATGCATATAAATTGTAAATTTTAAATAAAAAAAAAAAAAGAAGAAAACCCATAAAAAATATATATATAAGTACTAATTTTGTTCTTTATATGTCTGGTAAAATTTAAAAAAAAAAAAGAAGAAGAAAACCCATAAAAAAAATATATATAAGTACCAATTTTGTTCTTTATATGTCCGGTAAAATTATATAATTTTGTTTAGATATGGAAACTAAAATATAATACTTCATTCGTCCACTTATAATGTTTATATATTTTTATTTTAGGACGTCCAATAACAAAGTTAACATTTCATTAAATACCCTATTTTTTTCCACAAATACTCTTACTTTACATCACATCATTACTTTTACGTAAAAAAAAAAAGTAAAGGCAAAAATGTCATTACATTACTTTTAATTACTCACTATAATTAAAATACTATTATTTTTAAACATCATGTCAAAAATAAATGTAAACTTTGTAAGTGGTCGGAAGGAGTAATATTTTAATGTAAAAATGAAACATATAAAAGGTAAAAGACGGTAAGTATTATAAAAAAATTTATTAAAACATAATTAAGTGAAAGAAAGGGTATTAGTAATATAGTTTTCATTTATTAAAGTAGGGATATTGAATAATACTCTATATGTTCCAACAAGGATGAGCTTTTGGTTACCAATACGAGTTAGTGTATATTAATAAATTATTAATAATAAGTTATGATATTATTTTATTATTTTTTATATAAATAGTATTGTTGGTATTTTAGATATTTTTAGCAGCATATCTTAATAAAATATATACTCTTTTCATCCCATTGAAAGGTTACTATTTTCTATTTTCGTACATCCTAAAATAAGGTTACCATTTCTTAATTTAGTAATTGTACTACCTACTTCACATAATAAATACACTTTGAACTTACAATATATTACACAAATGTCATTACTTTTATATTACACCATATTAATAGGGGTAATTTTATCTTTTTTACTATAATCCAATACAATACTAATATTTAAAACTCTATGTGCAAAAAGCAAACGTCACCCTTCTTGCGGGACGGAGGGAGTATAATATATACACCATTTTGTTGAAAATAAAATTTTATATAATACAAATAAATAAATATAACTTAAACCTAATTTTATTTATAAAAAAATGAGAAAATTTAAATATAAATAAAAATATTTTTAATTTAATTTAATTTAATTGATTTATATTTTTTTAAAAAAAGTATATATTTTAGATGAATAAATTTTTACTCAAAAATATAAATGGATCATCTTTTTATGAGATGGAAATAAATAAATAAATAAAATATATCATCTATGACGAGACGGATGGAGTATTTGTATTTTGGATGTCATTTTCCTAACATAGTAATCGGTAATCTTAATATCTAACTATCATAATAAATAATTCTTATAATATTATACAATATGTTTTTCTTTTTCATTACAATCTAATATAATGCTAATATTAAAAAATATACGGAAAAAAAATAAATAATACTCTTTATACGGGAGGGATATATATATATATACAAAACAAACATAGCCAAAATATTTCCATGTAAACCCAAACAAACAGTACTCTGTTGCCGGGAGTTCTACGCAATCAAATAAACTGTCATAACGTCCCAAAATACCTATTCAACAAATTCTTCATTAATTCAAATGATCGGAGCTACGGCGGCCGGCGGCGGAGGAAGCGGCGCCGCGGAAAGCTCTAGTACGACGGGAGGCGGCGATTCTGATAACGGTACCGTTGTAGTGCATGCGCTTGTGGCCGCCGAGCGCTTGGCCGGTCGGAAAATCCCTACCGCAGGTGGCGCACTGATGAAACAGCCGCCGGACCGGCGTCCACGTGGCGAGGCTCCAGCCGTCCGATGCAGCCGGCGGTCCGACGCTGTAGCTGGTTCTGTGGCCCCGGTTCTGGACCGCTACTCGACTACCGGGAAAGGGCGGTTCTGAGTTTGACCTGCTGCTAATTAAAACGGCGGAGTTTTGGGAGAGGAGGATCAGACCCTCCGCCGCAAGAACCTCGTCTTCCTCGTACGGCGGCGGCGGAATGGAACTCATGAGAGAAAGAAAAGCCATTAAGGTATATACGAAATCGAACTGAGGGATTAATTAATTATTGTGAATTATATGAACTGTATATATATATATATGTGTGTGTTTTTCTATTTATTTCCATGTTCAAGGTTTTTCATCAGATTTATATTTAAGGAAATACTCCCTCAGTTCATAAACTAATGTTATACTTTCTGGGACGTCAAACAATTATTGTCTTATTTTCTTTTTTAAACACAAATTTTATATTTTTACCCTCTATTCATTTATTATTTTTAATCTCTAAATACATTTAAGGGCAAATTTGTCAATTTTTAACAAAAAGACAATTAGCTAAAAAAACCGTGCAAATATACTTTAGGACAATAGAAATTGGACTGAGCAAGTAATAGATATGTATGTATTTAATGTATGTAATGCATGTCTGTAAGTATGGAAAGTTTCCTTGTTTATTTAACAACGTAACAATACTTTATAAGCCACTTCTAAGTTGCATATGATTTCAAATATTTTAGTGTGACTATTTTATATTTGTACTAAAATATTTGTACTTTCCAAAATCAATGTAGTATTTTTTTTAAAATTATTTCGTTTGTCTACATCTTTCCTATTTTAGTCAAAAGGCATTAATATATAAATATTAAAATACTTATGATTTTTTTAAAAAAACTAATTATCAAATTTTTAAAAGGCATTCGTTTATTAACTAATAAAACTATTATTATTTTTAAATTTCTTATAAAAAAGAATAACAAAAAACCGCTTTAAATTAAAAACAAATGAAATTTCAACGTTGTCACGAATAATTATTATTATTATTACTACTTCCTCTATTCGGCTCTAAAGGTCTCATTTATTTTTGGCGTCATTATATTTAATATTAAAATATCCTTATACATATATTTTTTACACAAATATCATTATAATAGTATTATAATACACTTATAAAAGTATTTTTCTCATTTTCTCCTTATTTGTTCTTTGTTTTTATATAATAATTGAAAATATAAATGGGACCCTTTAAGCTAGACGGAAGTAATATTATTTATTGTATAATAGAAAAATGAAAAGATCTTGAATTGAACAAAGCCTATAAGGGTATGTTTGTTTGGAATTTAGTACTTCTAGTTCTAGAAAGAAAAGAAACATTATGAAATATGTCGAACATACAATGAAAAAATTAATAAATATGAAGAAAAAGAAAGAAGAAGAGAAATATTATGAATAGATATATAGATATGGGACGGGAGGAATATTAGCATAGTAAAATCCAAAATCAAACCCCTCAAGAAGGGGTGGATGAACAAACAAGCTCCAATCGATTTTAAAAACTCTTAAATTCTAAAGAACATTCAAATAAAATTATTTTGAAAGAAAGCAGAATGTTTTTAACTATGCTATCACATCTAGGCATTCTTAAATTGTAAAAACAAATTAGTATCGAAAATGAACCTTAGCGTATGACTGAACTTCAAATTCACAATGTAATTATAAACACATAAGAGATTTGAATGAATCCATGAAGACATAATGAAAAGGCTAGCATTTTAGAATTCTGAAGCATTTGAATCAATGCAATTCTAACACCTATCTCTGAAAATGAAGAGTTAGGCAAAATTGGGAAAAGAAATTTGGTAATGTAAAACCCTAGAAATTGGATTACTTACGCTATCGGAAATCGAAGAACATTGAAAAAAAATTTGGACTATTTCTCGATTTATGCGTGCGCAGGGGCCATGCTAATCTTCTCTGTATCGTTCCAATTTTATCGGATGTCCCCGAAGGGACGAACCGTATGGGATGTCGTCAGACTTGTTGCCCGGTCTCCAATATTCTTCATTATTTATGTAAGTTCTTAAAATATGGATTTGAAATTTTGAAGGGTTCAAATACATTTAAATTTTAATTATATGATTGGACCTTATAAATTATAGAACAGAACTTGTAGCAGCAAATATAAGACCTCACATTTACAGATAAAAATAAAATAAAATAAAAAAATTCTACAAAATAAATTATAAATAAATCTATAGTTCCACTAGTAGTGAGTTTCAATACAGCCACTAAAAGAATTAACATACATAGATACTATTTTTGTTCCCATTGTACTTTATTTTAATTTTTTTTTGGATACAAATTTTTTATCATTTTCAATAAAAATATATTATTTTTTTTTTTATATCAAAACACTAACGAGGACAAAAATACTGGCAGAAAATTTGAAACTATTAATCTAACAGTAAAAGTACCATACTTCACGGCTATAATTAGCATTACATATAGCAAAAGAGCTATGAAAAAACCTATAGATTATATTAAATCTCTAGTTAACCAAAACAAAAAACTGCGATTAGATAACAAACATCCGTACGTCATAACAATGCATCTTTCCGAGAATCGATAGCCTTAATTTTGACTCACGTCGCGTGTTCCTCTGCCTGCTGAGAATACCCGTCATCAGTCACCAGTGTTATCTTTCCTTCTTCAGGCGAATCCACCTTCGCTTCGTCTTTGGGAAGAGCATTGCAGTGGATTGTATGCCACACGGGTCTTTCTTCTTGGAACAATCTGCGAGCGACAGAATCATCGGATAAAATTAACTACAGCATAAGTTCGTAACACCATCCCGGCCAATGACACACAACAACACACAGGAAAAGGTATAGGAGAGTCTTACGGGTGCTTGCAAAGAGTCGGACATTGGAATGTAAGTGCATATTTACAAGTCGACAGCTCGGTTATTGAGCTTATCATAGCTCGGGGTTCAGAGCACACAAATCTGACCTGAAATGGAAATGGAAGAGGGGTATGGTCAGCAATGTGTTAATAGCTCTGAAAATAAATATTTAAATGCGTACCTCTGTTTCTCGGGGCTCATTTGTTAAATCACAGAGAGTTCCATTTGTAAAAATATGAGCATGATACCTGAATATCATAGCAGTTAAGTTCGATTCGAATATATATATATATATATATATTGTAAGGAGCTAGTTCTTTTTCATGCAGTAAATATAATTGAAAGTACCTCTGAGATGCATCTTTAGATCGAGGATCCTTCAACGTGGACATATCAGATCGATTCTGATGGTAAGCCTCGGTAGCATCAGCATCATAAAATCCCAATACAAATTCTTGAACCACCTATACAATTAATCACTTGGCCTCATTTACAGGAACAAAAGAAAAAGGGAAGGATAGTCCGAGATAGAGGTATTATGCAGCACAAGCTAGTTAGCAAATCCTAAAATTAATTATTGGAAAGCAACAAGTACAAATGATCAAGGTTTAAACAAGCCAATCTTGTTTATCGTCGTGTTAGCCAACAGAAAGGTATTAACATATTGATAAAACTCCGATAGAGCAGATCATAGGCAGAAAACTACATATTCTTTGAATTTGCTAGCTGGAATAGAAAGAAACTATCTAAGCAGTGTCAAGCAAAAGCCGTGCACTATAAAATGATGTGCAACAAACTACCTTCTCATCCTCCACATGAATTTGTCGCAATTTATTTTGATAACAGAACTCATACGACCACCATCCCTCTTGCTGCAGTCAAACATTTAACAAATGTAAGTCTATATTGGATCACAAAAAAGATATCCCAGTGTGCACAAAAAGAAATGTATTCAAATTTCTAGTCATGAATAACAAAGCATATTTGCAGTGGCTTATAGAGATAAGTAAACTTTATTTCATTCCTCTTGATTTTTATGATCTTACCCTGATAAAGCACCTATCTTTCAACACTTCCAATAGTTCATCCGGCGTCTTCAATTTCACACGTGTCTCAGACTCAACAATCATGCTGCTTATATTCTGCGGAGACACTACCTTCCCGCTCTTGGATTTCTCCACTTTGGGTAAAAAACAGAGAAATTTCTCTCCATTTTTGTTGGGCATAACAATAGATTCTTGGTCATGATCCTGAGAAGTCAAAAACTAGTTAGAATTGTGGTTACCAAAATGAAAATGAAAATTTATTATTATAACACTAACTACAGTATTTGACCTACATGGCAATGCTACTCCAGTTTCAACCTTTTCAATTAAAAAAGAAACTATACCGCCAGTCGTTCTTCGCCAATTGAAGTTGGAGAAGCGAGATTAAAGTCTAATACAGAATAAACAATGGGAGATAAGTGTATTTACGCCGAGAGAATGATTAATGGGATACAGCAAGTAACAACAAACATATGCCTCTCAAGTGAATTTCTAGTATGAAGATTTTACTACCACAGTACCACTGCAATTCATCGTCATTAGTTTTCCCGTCAATTCTGTGTTCTACACTGATTTAAATCATTTTAGCAAGCCCTTTTTCACTCCTGAAACTAAATCCAACGATTCAAGAGGTGTTAAAGGGATTAAAGGATAGCTACAAACAAACAGACTTTATCCAAAAGATTACATGGCTATGCACCTACATAGAAAAAAGAAAAGGAATATTAACCAAAATGAACCAAGTTAATGTCACTAAAGGCGCCAAGAAAATTATCCCAAGTTAATGTCATTAAAGGCGCCAAGAAATTTATCCCAAGTTAATTTATCCCAGTAGAATGAACTGGATATCCCATGTACCCTCTGTATTACCTGCCTTCCACGCATCTGATACTATTTATCTTTTCAACTGTTGGCACATTGTAAACCTTGAGAAACAATGGGCTTAAAGATGTCTCTCAGGAAACAAATGTCTCTCCATAAGGATCTAGGTTTGATGAATTTCAACTTCCTTACCATTCCTCATGGCATAGGAAAAGGATATTAAACATAGAAAGGAAGGAAATGAATGTTCAAAGCAAAAAAAAAAATTATCGCAAACAGCTGAGAACAAATTAAAATATCTCAAGGAAGAAATCAAATATTGTTTAATGCTGTCAAAGCTGCTCAGCCTGGGAAGGTATAGTCATGCATATTCCACTTACTAATAGGATTAAAATCTCTCTGCCTCTATTTCCTTTTATTTTCTAGAATAGACGCGGTAAATCGTTAGGTCATGTGATAAATGGGCTAGCACAGGCTAGCTTGATTCTCATCGGAAGGCTAAACAAGGTTGATGGCATTAAGAGTCTCCAGCTCGTAGATTAACAAGCCAACTTCATTTCCAAATGTAGAGAATGCAAAAAACTAGTTCTCAAAATTTGTGCAAAACGATTCCAACTGAGAGGTTTCAAAATAGGTTTTCAACCGAGATCCCCTCATCTATATGCAAATCAAATAATTAATATATAAAGCAACATGGCGTTCTAATTGTAGGGGCCCTATATATACAATCCAGGAAACATCTTCTTAAGCAGTGAATTGACTTGCTAGAATATTCTAGTCAGAATGGAGATTATTACCAGATATGAACCTAATTGTATCTCAAATTACTGGGCAAACATCACAGATCAGGATGCTTTCTTGGGTTGAACAAATAAATCTATTAATGGATTTCGAATCATGCAATGGATATATTATTTCAACTTCAAAACTGAATGAGCGAAGTAAGTAGATACCAAGACAAATTGGATTTGCAATCAATGTCTTCAATACTTTAACACGCAACAGAAATACACTAACTCGGTGTTAGAGGTTTTCCATTGAAGTTAAGTTCAAACAAATTTTGACCATTTATATGATTATCATTGTATAATCTAAAATTTTAAAAATAAACTGCATAATATATAGTGTTAGGGAATTCTTTGTGACACGCGAAATATGCAATATAGGGTGTGTGCTTTTGGAGTTTGTTTAGGTTTTGTATTTTGGGTTCTTATATGTTTTAAGTTAAGCAGTTGTTGGATATGATATATTTTGTGGACATTGAATATTGGATGTGATGTTATAGGGAAATTGAGAGATTGTAAAGTAAAATATATATATAACAGAAATGACTGAGCACACCACATGATTTTCGTAGGTGATGTGTGATAGAAGAAGCTATTCCAAATCGAATTTTTTACTCAAGTATATGATATAATCAGAATTGAAATGAACAACAAATTTGATAGTCGGCTGTGCCACTTACAGGATGGTAAGGTGAGTCTTCCAGATGAAAATCAATTCTGAACTTGGGTTCCCGAGAGCTTCGACCAAAGGTACCACCTAAAATCAGACATGGTATGAACAAAGGGGCATATCACAGTTGACACAAACACTAGAATATTAACACTATTTCATAAGTGCTGCGAATAGCTGAACACATATAGAGACCATAGCACTGAAAACTAAATTGATGGAACCATAATATCTCACACTTCAACTCAATATTGCTCGACAAAACAATTTTTGCTCAACAAATGAACATAACCAGAGAAAAAAGAAGCTTTTAATTGCAATACGATGATTCTACAACTCCACACAATCTACAGAAATCTAGACAATTGATGCATCATGTCGTGTTATTTCATGGCCAGATAATGAATTTCAGTTGGACCAACTACATTGATATTCAGCACAATGAAATTTCATCTGCAATCAATACAAGTATCGACTGGTATTGTTAAATTGTTGGTACCTGTATGAGCTGGGATGATCTGATCCGAGGAGACGGCGCTGCAGAAAAGAACGGCAGCAAAAATTGCGGGTGCCCAACACCATACAAGCCTCATGTTTTGGGTACTTTCCCCGTGAATTGAAAATTTTGTTAACCCTAATTTTGCTATTTGATTTCCCCCAAATGGCCGATCAAAGCAGAAAACGATGAGTCGACGGTGAGCAAAAATCCGAATATTCAATAAGAATTAAATAAGTTTTAAGCATCGAAATTTTCGCTGTTAAATATTTATTATTTTTATAATTTTTAAAATTTCAACATTTTCAAATATAAACGGTTCATAAAATTTTGGAAATTTTTTGATCTTTTAAATTAACTTGAAATTTTTTTTAAAAAAAATTAGATTGAAAATTTTTTATTTATTAATTTACATTAAATATATATTATTTTTATAATATTATAAATTTTTCAGATAATAAAAAATAATAATATATTGTAAAATTTTAGATTTGAAAATTGAAATTTAAATATGACATGTAAAATTTAATTTAATTTTTAAATTGTTTATTGAACGCGTGATAAGTTATGACATGCATTGCACCAATGGCATTCTGCCACGTCAGTTACATGACTAACTTTATATCTTTGAACTATAAATTATTTCGTATCCCCTCGTCCGGAACATATGTACTCTCAATTTTTAAATACTCATTTCGTTTCAAATGAAATGTACTTTTAATAAATTAGAAAATAATACTTATCCGTCCATATTTGCTTTTGACGCAGTGTTTAAAAAATAATAATATTTTAATTATAGTTGGCAGTTAAAAGTGGTGTAATGACATTCTTGTATTTGTGGAATGTTTACTTTGTAATTAGACGTCCCAAAATAGAAATGTGTATACTTTTTAGCGGAGGGAGTAATATATTTTGTTTTATAATAGTAATAGTATTTTATTTTATTTTTTATTTTTTTTATGACGTGAGAATCCGCACTTATAAAAAAAGAATATTTTATTAGTTAATGAAAATATATAATAGTTTTTCACATTTTTTTATTTGACTTTATATATAAATTAATTGTATATGTAAATATGTATTTGTAATTTAAATAAAAATTAAAAATATTTTGATATTATTGTATAATTATTTTTTTCATTGGTCAAATTTTAAAGCATTCATTTTATATGTGTAAATATGTATTTATAATTTAAATAAAAATTAAAGGTATTTTAATATGATTGTATGATTATATTTTCTAAAATATAAAATGAATACTTTGAAATTTGACCGATGAAAATAATAAAAAACATGCATTGAATTAGGTAGGATGGAGTATTCTTTTTATATTAATAAAATTATTGGTATTTTAAAAATATAAATTTATATATATTATTTAAAGATTTTAAAATATATATTTAAATATTTTAGTATTATATTTCAATAACATAGGTATAATATGAGTATTATTTTATAAATAATAAAATTTTATATATAAATAAAATATATATTTATTAACTTATAATTAACTTAAATTAGTTTTATAAAAAAAATAGAGAGTTTTAAAATTTAAATATTAATAAAAAGATTTGTTTATTTAAAAAATTGATAAAAATAAATGAATTTTGAATGGATATTATTGCTAAAAAAAGTTATAAATTTAATTAAATTAATTTATATTTTTAAATATGTTTAAAATAAATAAATTTATCAAATATATATAGAGATCATATGTTATGAGAATAAGAAAAAAAAAATAAATCATTATGACGGAATGGAGAAAATACTACTTTCTTCGTCCCATTGAAAGGTTACTATTTTCTATTTTCGTTCGTATCAAAACAGGGCTGCTATTTTTTAATTTAGTAACTGTACCACCTACTTAAACATAATAAATATTCTTTCAACTTACAATATATTACACAAATATCATTATTTTTATATTACATTGTACTATATTTTTGTCATTTTCATTACAATTCAATATAATAGTAATATTCAAAAATCTACTGGCAAAAAACAAATATCACTCTTCCAATAAGACGGACGGAGTATATATTATTGAGGTCCGATACAAACTGTATTGATTTGATCGATCACTATATATAATAAAAATATATAGCATTATATAACAAAATTATAAAGGGAATAGAGTGTAAATAAAAGTATATAGCATGATATAACAAACCTCGGCACCTTCGAATTCATTTGTTACACATGATTCACGTAATGTGTCTTACCGTATGTGTGCACTTTCGGATAGCGATTGCGGATTATCATGCTGTTAAAAATTAAAAAAAAAAAATTAAGAATCTTACCAAAATAGAAAGTAGCACATTTATTGAAACTGAATGTAACATTAAATGTGAAACTAGTGATGTATAGTAAATGCGTGGTCCCGACGACTTAGTAATAATATTATTAAAAAGGAAAATTCCACATATTTTTTTTGTTAGTAAAATTATAAAATTGAATTTGAGGTTTTTTTTTTTTTTTTTTTTTAAATACATAATTTATTTGATTATTTACAACAAATAATACTAATTTTATTGTATTATTTCATTTCATATTCTTAAATTACTAACTAAATTTTAAAAAATATCTTCAACTATCTTTTTAATTTTTTTACTTCTTCAATAAACTGTGCCCAAATGAACTAATATTTGCTGACGCCGGACGTAGAAATACTATTTTTTATTATTTTTTACTATAAAATAAAAAATTTATATTTTTATTAATTTTGTATCGGATCAACTGTGCATAAATATAACGGAGGAAACATATATACTCCCTCTGTCCGGTTAGAAAGTATACATATTTTTATTTTGGAATGTCCAATTACAAAGTAATCATTTCATTAAATACCTCATTTTTTTTCACAAATATCCTTACTTTATATCACATCATTACTTTTATACCAAAAAAAGTAAGGGCAAAAATGTTATTTTACTACTTTTACCTAACCAAATCACGGCTCTAAGAGTCTCGTTTAATTTTTGTGCGTTGATATTTGAATATTAATTATTATATGAAAACATAATACAAATAAAGAGAAAATTATAAAAATACTTCTATTTGTGAAAAAAATATATAAATATAAATATATTTTTAATATTAATACAATGACGTAAATGAAATTTTTAGAGTCTAACATATTCATAAATTTTTTTAAGAATTTTTTTTTTTTACATAAAATATTACATTAAAAAATATATATATATAATTAAATCGACATTTGATTACGATTTTGAATATCCAGTTAAGACCGTTTCCAACCGCCTATTTGATAAATATATATATATACACATATATAAACCAAAAATAAAAATAACAGAAAAAATAATAATAATAATAAAGAAGTCAAAATTACAAGGAAGCGAGGCGATGAGATGACGTCGCCCACAATCTTGGAAAGCACGGAAAATCCCTGTCCCACCTTCACGGCATCATCCATGGCGACGGGCGAGACCAGAAGCGTTTGGCAATAGCAAGGCGACAATTGAATCGCAATTCCCCCACACACAAGTCTATGCATATATTTATTATTATTATCGCCATTAAATCGATAAAAAACATTCATTGTTCTGCCCGTCCTTTTCAACTCCATTTCGATTCCTTTTTCGATTGCGATGCTATGCTTTGGTGGCTCTCACGTTCCTCTGACACACCACGTTTCCTTTGCCCCAAACCTTTCTGTGGTCTTTCCATTGCGTAATCCGATTCCAGTCTTCGCATCCACGTTTTCAATTTCTCTCCTTATTTGTTTTTTTCAGAATAATTAATTCATGTTCGCCCTTTATCGGGAAAGGGGAGGAAGAAAACTTTGCTTGAGGTAGAAAACAGGTATCCTAACGCATTCGTCTTCACCTTTTCTTGTTCTTATTCAGATTTGGTGGCTAGGGAAAGGATTTATTAATCGTATTTGTTCTACACCTTTCGTTTATTTTTTCATTTTTTTTGGTGAAGGTTTCAGGCTAGGAATTGAGGGTTTTGAAATTAGCAATCGATTTTGGAGAACTTGGTGTGGATAGCTCTGCGATTTTGTATCTACGGTAGGTTCATTGATTTATCCTTCCATTTCTAGGTTTATCTGTTGGTAAATTTCCTTGGATTGTGGAGAATTGTTTTCTCAGGTGGATTGAATTTCTGTTGGGAATAAACTTGATTGAGGAACAGTAGAAATTAGGTATTCATTTGTCTGTATTGAGGATTAGATTCTTTGTGATTTTTGGCCATTGGTGACGATGGGAAAGCGTGGTGGAAAGGGGAAGAAATCTCCGGGAGATAAGGCCGGGGGAGAGTCGAATTTCCGGCAGGTTAAGGCAGTCGAAAACATTACCAAATCTTATGATGAGGACACAGCAGTGTTCATTTTGATGTCTAGGGAGCTCAAAGATGAGGGCAATAGGTTGTTTCAGATGAAGGATTATGAGGGAGCAATGTTGAAGTATGATAAGGCGATAAGTTTGCTTCCGAGGAGCCATGTTGACGTGTCGTATTTGAGGAGTAACATGGCGGCCTGCTATATGCAGCTGGGGATAACTGAGTATCCGAGGGCGATTCATGAGTGTAATTTAGCTCTTGAAGTCACGCCGAATTACAGCAAGGCCTTGTTGAAGAGGGCTAGGTGTTACGAGGCATTGAACCGGCTGGATTTGGCGTTGAGAGATGTTGGGACAGTGCTGAAGAGGGAACCGAATAATCTGATGGCCACTGAAGTTGCAGAGAGGGTTAAGCAGACGATTGAGAAACAAGGGCCGTTGGATGTTGAAATCCCTGTGGATTTGGTGCCATTGCCGGAGGAGCCACCGCCGCAGCCACCTCAAAGCAAGGCAGCTAAAGGGAAGGCTCGGAAGAAAAAATTGAATAAAGTTGAGGAGAACAACAGAGATGATGACATGAAAGAGGAAAATAAGGGTGAGGAAGAAATGAAGATAGAAGGAGAAGAGGTCAAAGCTAATGGTGAAGAAGCAGTGATGAAAATCGACGACGCGAATGTGGAAAAGAGAAGTGGAAAAACTGAGGATGGGAATAAGGAAAAGAAAACAAAAACTGCAAAAGCAGAGGCTGCAAATAAGGGAAAGAAAATCGGGAAAACTGTGGATGTGAATGGGGAAAGAAATTCCGAGGACAAATTGGTGGTGGAGGAAGAAAAAATTAGTAACGGCCATGGAGAGGAGCCGAGTAGGTCAGTGAAGTTAGTATTTGGGGAAGATATACGATGGGGTAAGATTCCTTTCGCCTGCAGCATTCAGAAAGTAAGGGAAATTGTTTCTGATCGGTTTCCCGGCTTGAAGGCTGTTCTTGTCAAGTATAGGGATCAAGAAGGTGATTTGATTACAATCACCACGACCGAAGAATTGAGGATGGCTGAAGCGAGTGCAGAGAACGGGTCGATGAAGCTGTATGTAGTTGAAGTTAATCCCGATCAAGATCCTCTGTTTCGGAAGATTAAAAATGATGAATTGGAAGGAAACATCGACAAGAAAAATAGTAACGAAAACGGACATGTAGGGGAAAGAAAGGAAGTGCAAAGTGAATCAGCTTGTATAACTGATTGGATAGTTCAGTTTGCTCAACTCTTCAAGAATTATGTCGGTTTTGATATCGACGCTTATCTCGATCTTCACGAGGTTGGAATGAAGCTCTGTTCGGACGCCATGGAAGAGACTGTAACTAGTGAGGAAGCTCAAGAACTTTTCAATGCCGCAGGCGACAAATTCCAGGAAATGGCGGCATTAGCTTTATTCAACTGGGGGAATATTCACATGTCTCAGGCGAAAAAGCGGGTGAATTTTAGCGACGAATCTCCCAGAGAATCCATGGCTTCACAGATCAAATCTGCACACGATTGGGCAAAGGCGGAGTATATAAAAGCCGGAGAACGATATTCCGATGCTCTAAGAATCAAACCGAATTTCTATGAAGCCGTTCTAGCTCTTGGGCAGCAACAATTCGAGCTGGCGAAACTTTCTTGGAATTATGCAGTCGGTACTGACGTTGAGCCGGAATTGTTTCCGTCGACAGAAATTATCGAGCTCTACAACAAGGCTGAGGAGAATACGGAAAAGGGATTGCAGATGTGGGAGGATGGGGAGGAAAAACGAGTCACGGATCTATCTCTCCCGAATAAAGTTGAACCTATCCTACGCGACATGAAACTCGATAATTTGTTGAATCATATAACAGAAGATGAAGCAGCGGAGCAGGCGGAAAACATTCGATCTCAGATATATATTTTATGGGGCACGATGCTGTATGAACGATCGATTATGGAATTCAAACTGGGACTTCCGGTGTGGCAAGAATGCCTTGAGGTTGCAGTCGAAAAATTCGAGCTTGCCGGCGCTTCTCAAACCGATATCGCTGTCATGATAAAAAGCCATTGTTCAAATGACACGACGTTGGAAGGTAACGTATAGATATGATTTTTGGAATATTTTGTAGGTTTTGCATTAGATGTTATTGAATGAGGTGTTTAGCATTTCTTCATTACGATGATGCAGGCTATGGGTTCGACATTGATGAGATAGTTCAGGCAATGAATGAGATGTATGATGCAAAAAACTGGCAGAAAAGAATTCCCTCGTTCCGATTAGAGCCATTACTTCGACGGAAAGTTTCGAAACTCAATTTTGTCGTTGAAAATGCATAAATGCGCCTGCGGAAGTGTCACTAAGTACATAAGCAGCTGTGCGTCGTGCTTGGCAGGACAGTTGGTCTATTACTTTCTCGAATTACATTCTTGGTGAGTTGAAGCTTCATATTCGTGATTTTTATGTTTAAATCGACGTCTAGTAGATATAAGGGACATTGTGCTCACAGAATTTTCAACTTTACTATGAATAAAAATAAAAAATAAAAAATAAAAAATGAACGGACGGATAGTCGAGAACCTCATGATAGAGTTCATCTCTTAATTGGGAAGTTATGTTGTTGCTAATGGGAAGTAGATAATTCCTCCAAATGTGATTTAGGTTTGAAGTCTTTTATCTAAAAATTAGGAATATCTATTCGATGCAAGGGTGTGTTTGTTTGTGGGTTTTGATTTTTTAATAGTAAAAAGTTGAATTTGAATAGTTATTAGATCTAATATAAATAGAGATTGATGTGATATTTTTAATGTAAAAGAAATTTATAGTATAATATTAAAAAAAATAAAAATAGTTGTTTGATGTGATATTTTTTTATGGAAAAAAGAATCTGCATAGTAAAAATCTGTGGTAAAATCCACAAAAGAACACAACCTAGATGATTTGAGTTTCTTGATGATGTCTTAGTAACCGTAGCTTCATCACACGAATGTAGCATACGCTTGTTTCTCTATTATGTAAGAAGCAGCCGTACATGAATATGGTTAATAGCTTTTTACTTTTACCTTTCTCGAAGAAGTTTTACCTGCTGATACAAGATATCAAAATATATTGCTGTTCGTTTAGCGAAGATCCACTCTAAAACATTCTCGAATAAGTATATATCACTTAAGTAATTGTGTATATTCTGCTGCTGCGCTTAATTTGTTAATGTCGACGTATTTAGTCAGTGCATTTGTTCTTAAAACATTGTCTATTGTGCAGGCTTCCATGTCTCTTCATCTGTTCATTTAATTACGTTGTAAAAAGCATGAGGTTTGTTGCGCCCGACTCGACAGGCAGATTGTTGTGTCTTTTCTTGTTAGTTGTTTTCTGCACGGCAGAATACAACGATCGATTGTTACACTAGCACGGCAGCTAGTTATTTAATTGATAGCAGGAAATCAGTAATTTTTGTGTTGAACATAGAGCGCCGGAGGATAATGTTGAAGGGGTAGAAACTACCTTTTTTTGTTTCTGCTCGACTCAGCACCGTCTACCCTGCCCCATAGGTAATTCTTGAAAGATTCGAGCAACATTATTTTGTTTCTTCTGTTGTATTTGTATTTGTATTGGTTGTATTTGTATTTGTATTTGTATTTTTATTTGTTGTATTGTATTGTATGTTTCTTATTGTCGAAGTGTAGGATTTTTTGCGCCCCGTGTAGTGTTTGTGTGTTAGCTCGTCGTCTGCATGTATAATCTTGTTTTTGAGACCAGTTTCTGTCTGTTGTTATTTGTAAGGAGTTTTAGAACTAAATTTGATTCGAATGGTCTCATTTGGTAATTGAATGTCTTTTCTTTGATGCTGGATTGTTATTCTTCGAGTGCATTTTAAGTAAATTTTCAGCCGAGTTTAATAGTCTGTAAATTAAGTCCGGTAAGACAAGTCACGGGAAGATGTCTTTGAGCTTATTTTTGGGAGGTTTTATTGGGTTATTCTTGTTCTATGTGATCTTATTTTGTGTATGAAATTGATGTAAGTTTACCTCAACTTTGCACAAATAAATTTAACCCTTGGATAGATAATAGTGGGTTTTTATGTATCAAAATTACTATTCAAATAAAAAATCAAAATAAATCAACTTTTTTTTAAAATATATATATATATATATATACATGAGCATATCATGATTCAAAATAAATAAGACTTAGCATTCTAATGAGCATTTAAAATTTTTGGTAGGTTTGTTTATTTATGCTTTCGAAGACATTTATATTAGTTTGCCAGCATAATTTTTAACAAAAAAAAATATTAATTTTTTGTAAAATATTATATCAAAATACTATTTAAATAAAAATGCATATGCAAAAAATATTAATAATCGAAATCGAATAGAACAAATATCAAATATGTAATATTTCAATTTGGTTCGATAATTCGATTCGGTGTTTTTGTCCAGCGCTAGGTCCTAGAATTATGCAATTGCTAACGAGAAAAAGTCAATATTACAATCTCCAACGCTAGACCATTTGCATTTTATTTATTTTTCTAAAAGACACCAAACTAAAAAATATGAAATAAAGCCAAAAAATTATGCTAAGACTGTAAATTTAATAATTTGAAGCCAACAATAATCTACAAATTTCATTTTATTCCCATTCTACAACTGGAAATGCTTAATACAACAAAAACAAACAAATATATATATATAAAATAAATGCTGTGATCACAGACACACACACACCAAGGGTCACAAGGCAAGCTATTTTCACTTACAAAAAACACCACAGTTTATATCAAGAAACCCGCGTCGAACGACCGACATTTCGACCCAGACCAGCACCCGAACCTAAAGGGACAGCGCTGTGACTATGGTTATGGCCGCCGTGAGAAGAATGGGACTCGGCTGAGTGTATATTGGAGCTTTTACTCACATCAATTGCAAGATGGTCGTTTCCATTCGCCTGCTGAGAATGGTTCGAACCGTTTGGAAGGTTTTTGTTTCGCAAAATGTGAGCCATCCCGATGATTCCTTGAGAATCCTTTGACGATTCTGAGTGCTCGATGTCTTCATTGTAGCCGTTTATCAAGAAATCCGAACAGTTCTTTTTGCAGCCATGGTCGAATGGGTTATGGAATCGACCATTTGATCCTCTTAGGTAGCTATACCGCATCATGTTTGTCATTTCGTTGGTTGTAATATTCCGACCGATCTGTAGGAGAAATGAAAGGCATATAATATAAAACAAACAAATTAAACGCGCAGCTACTAAGCTATTGTCATTACCGACAAATTTTCACTCAAATTTATCAAATCAAATACTTCCTCAGTCCCATAAGAAGGATACCATTTTCTATATTTTCTATTTTGTCTGTTCTAAAACAAGAATATCATTCCTAATTAAGTAATTGTACTACTTACTTAACATAATAAATACCCAACTTACAATATATTACACAAATGTCATTACTATTATATTACACCATACTAATAGGGGCATTTTTGTTTTTTGTCTTTTTTTTTTTTTTTTTTACTACAAAAAATCAAACCGTATTTTACTTCAAATTTTTACTATTTCCAAATCTAAAATTCAAATCCAAATCTTAAAGGAACACAGGACTAGGCATCAAAATGCAAAACTACGTCTTAAAATACGGGAATCTAAATGACGGTAGGCTTTTGAACAAAAAATTATAAGAAACCGAACATTTTAGCAGAAACACTTTTTAGTGTACCTGAGAAGCCTGCACACAAGTCAAAGCTCCAACGCTCGAGAGGAGGAACAAATCTGCAACTAAAAATGCTAAAACACCAACATGTTCGTTGCCAGCATGGCTCAACCATGCACCGAAGGAGGAGGGAGCCATAGGATCAGTCAACACTCCTGCAGAGAGACAGATTCTTATAATGACCTTGAATAGATCACTTCTAAAAATTATAATAACACTGCAACGAGGAGAATGATAAGATAAATCTTACGGGTGATAGCGACGGCTCCGGTAATTAGCATTGCCAGAACTTCCAGGACAAGAAACAAGAAAAAATCCCACTTGTTTTTCTGTTCCGTGTCAGCGAAAATAATCAGAGCATGAGACAATTCTTTATTAATTCACAAAAATCAGATTTCGGAAGAACAAAAAATTAGTTCCCTAATGAGATGAATAAATAGAATTTCTGACAAATTAAACATGCATATGATTTCAAGACCTTTTTTTTTAAAAAAAAAAAGAAAAAGAAAAGGTAGACTTCAAGGTACCTTGCCAATGCAATTCGAGACCCAAGGGCAATGATGGTCAAATTGTTCAACACATCGGTCACAAGTGGAACAGTGCTTTGCACGAAGAGGCCGAACAATCTAATCAAGTAAGAGAAGAGTCCATTACACAATAAACTCCATATTGCCTTTTCCTATATACATCAAGGGAGGTAAAGAATAAAGACCTTGCAAGTAGCACATAGTTGGGACCAATTTCCAGCAAGCAAAGCGGGATTATTCATTTCAATCTTGAGCAAGGGTTCCTAAACAAAAATACAAGAGTTAATACAATAATCTTACAAATAAGGATATTTAATAGAAATGATAGCTATGAAATCAACTATTAGCAGTCACAAAATACTAAAATTTATAAATAACAGAACTAGTCCTCATCTACAAAATAATCAACCAGAGAAAAAAAAAAAAAATTGAAAAAATGAACACTCTGTTGTAATAATGTTACAGGAAACAAATGGCAACTTACATCATCTTTCATGTGTTCTGGATCACGTATATGCATTCTAATATAGCCGGGATCCTTGCTAGGAAATGAAACGACAGCACATTAGCACACTGCTCAATCATAACCCCATTAGAGGATACAATTAATGAACTTGATCTTGACTTCCCGATGTATATTTTCTTTGATCACAAATGAAAACATAACCATCATCGGAAATCATAAGTCATATGAATATTCAACATTGAAGTAAAAATTATGTTTTTCCCAGCCTGCAAAAAGCTGGGCTCGTTAAGTATATAGCGTAACCATCAGTTAACTCAATTTAGTAAAACATATACACGTTATAACTTTTTCATCATCTAAATCATTTTTTCAAAAAAAAAATAGAAAAAAACAAAAAACAACCATTTCAAAGGACATGACAACTAAATATTAAAGTTTTTGCAGGAAATTGAGCGCAAAAATGCTCAAACATTTTGAATGAACCGATGTTACCTGCTACATCTATAAAACAGAAATAAACCAATGGTCGCCAAGAATACTCCCATCCATGCAAAAAGGCCAAGGGCAGCTGTTAGTCTTGGCAAATTTGAAGCTGCGATGATAACCATGAAACTATGTCTTTATTTTGAATAGAAGAAACTGAAAAAGGCAATGATAAAATCAGATCACTTCAAAATTTGAGATAAGTACCCATAACAACTGAGTGCACATATGTCACAAGCAGCAGGAAGATAATGAACCAAAGCAGTGGAGCAAAGCCTAATTTAGAGAGTTTGCCAAGGACGCTGTTATTATCCCACCGCTTCTCGTACAACTTTCTAGCATTTTCCTGATAATTCACAAAAATAGCATTACACAACTGTGACCGAGCAAAGAGTCACAAAGAACATCACCTCAATGATACGAATCTAAATCCATGTCAACTTCAACCTTTTCAGGAAAAGGCTATTAATACATGAAGGAAAATGAGCATGGATCACCCCTAAAGAGATACATATATACATATACATATATAAGTAAATTAAGACACATTGTAGTTCTTTATACAATTCCAAGGTCTTCCATCAAAACCTACATTTCAGCTCCCTTTATTTTGTCAATTTGGGAGGAACATATATGCCCAAACACCACTTTTTAATGTTTCATTGAGATTTTATTCCAAATCAAACCCACCTTTCAGTTGTGATCTACGACAACCATTTAAAACATCCAGAATCTTTATAAAGCTCAATTAGATTTGTGGGATTCGCAATACAAATTTTTGCCCAAATTGGCAATCAACACTAATTGGTTTATGAAGCTTACGAGAAAAAATACGACTTGTCGATGATTTTGATCGGTAGCAAGTTGAACAGGTGTGAGCCCTGTATTATCAGTAACCATCAAATCTTCCTTCTTCCCAGCCTGCACTAAGACAGTGCATGCTTCCAAGTTTCCCCTAGTGGCAGCCCAATGTAGAGGAGTGCAACCTACATAATAATTCATAAATATCACACTTCAGAACCAGGATGACAACAAAAGGTAAAAAATAAAAAACATTTAAAATAATAATAATAAAAAAAAGGAACACACACACACATTAATGTTACCGAATATAAATCAGTTAGCACTAACCTTCTTTGTCCTGTCGTCCCCTATATGCATTTAGATATAACAAAAGACGTATGCAGTCTGCAAAGCCTTTATAAGCCGCCCTATTGTCATTCCCAGTAAATTAAAAAACTATTTGAACCCAAAAAACAGGAATTCACAAATATATTACACAAATGAAAGCCAAAGAAAATAACAAATAAAAAGGATTTAAGTGAATCTAGCTTCTTAAGCTAAACTGTCTCCGCACTGGCATACAATTCTGTCAAGTTTTGGATAGATAAATTTAGAGCCTTCCATTATGCTAGGTGAAAGAGTGAAAATATTAGAATTAAGCATGCTTTAAAAAGCTTTAAATTTATAGTTCATCTGAAATTAACAGATCCATGAAACCAAAATAAATAGTAGCTGCACAGAACAATCAAATAATGATCCTTTAATGCCATGGATTGCTGATTCACCATTAGCTACAATCAGTGATAGCTAGCATAGCATATTAAGATCAAGGAAGAAGACATAGCAGGGCATAGACATTGTTATCAAGGGATTCGTGCTTCCAACCTAACCAATGGGTGATCCGTGGAATGGCCTTCACCCTTATAAGACAAGGGAAGATCCGCATTTTTCTAATGTGGGATATATTCAACACTCCCCCAAGATGATAATCTCGAAAATTCATACAAGATCCAAACCCAATACGGGCATCAAGGCTCTGATACCATGTTAAGAATGGATCCAAATTTCCAACCTAACCAAGGCTCTGATACCATGTTAAGAAGGGATCTAAATTTCCAACCTAAAACCAAGGGGAGATCCCACTTTTCCTACGTGGGATATATTCAACAGACATAATGAAGACAGATTAAATATGCATTCATATATCAACATTGACCTGTTTAACTCATACAATCCAGAAAAAAGTCATATAAGCTATGCTTAACATCGACACAATGATGGTCTTCCGGAACGAAAATAAAAAGTAAAAAATTGCAGCATCATAAAAAAGATCACTTCCATAAAATTAAAATGTTTCATCCACAGAAATCATGTTTTATTATTGTACGAAAGCAAAGTAGCATAAATAAACAGCCCTAAATATATACTTGAACACAAAAGAATGATTATATTTGTAACTTACCAGTGCAATGGGCTTCTACCATCGTTATCAGGAACATCAGGATCGGCATTCCACTTCGTAACAAGATGACAAAGGAAAGCTGTCTGACCATATTGAGCAGCAATATGGACTGGCTGCAATTAGAATGATTGTACATTTAGAAGGTGGGTAAATTATAAAAAAATTAACACATTAAACTTTCAATTAAAGCTTTCCACTAGGAAAACAAATTCTAGCACTTCCTCTGCTTTTCATGTAAAAGAAGATCCTGCACAAATTTGTTCCGATTACAGTTTCATCATTCGTGGTTATTTTGCCTGTTTGAATCTGTTAATTATCATTTTCCACAGTATGTTAGAGGTCAACTAATTGTCCACTTCCAAATGACTGTCTATCATCAAGTTAATTATTCAAGTACATGATATCTACATCCATGCTGTAATTTACTATGATAATTTTGCCATAAAAACAATGACGTAGTTGTATGACTGGTTATTCCTTACCCAAGTTTTTAGTTACTGAGATTAAATTTCTGAAAAAATAGTAGATAGTTATAAAAGGTGCGGCCACTTGATCATCTTTTGTAGCGAGGCGCAAATAATGAAGAGGCCTTGACACCAAGGTGTGCTCCATAGGTGAGTATTTACATTTATTACTCTCTCCGTCAAACATTGTGACACTTTGGTTCGCAAGCCATGCAAAGCCGGGCATTTCGGATCGTAGACTGGCCCCACAGGTCCACACGAGTCATTTCACCGCGCTTCTGTCCTCACTCACGCGCACCCTGGGAGACTTTCTAGGGTTCCATCTTCAAATTACTCTAGAGCAAGCACGCTTAATTCTAAAGTTCTTTCAATAGGGCTCTCGAAAAGGAATGTGCACATTGTAGACATGCTTACTCTATTCAATTCATTTAACCTATATTCAACCTCAGATGGAATGACATCGGCTCATCCACGGGAGTTGGCCTAACACCGGCCCAACTCCGGAGGCACATTACACACATAATTTGTCCTTGTTTTCTATTTTTGTCGGTCCAACATAATTTGTCCTTTCTTTTCTCGAAAATATGACTATACAATATAATCATATTTTAAATTTTATAATTTACAATTTTCTTAATATTAATTAAACTATTTAGTTATTTTAATCTTGATCTATAGTTATTTTACTAGACAATAATTATTTTTACTAATATACATTTTAATTACTTACTAATTATATTTTACCTAAATTTTATCTACGGTAATAAACCCAAATTATCTAGGGCGGAGGGAGTATTATAGTAATCTTCAATTCTGACATTTTTGTCAGCTTTAAAATAGTTCCCACTTCTGCCTCCAAACCTCTTGCCCCTCCACTCTCACCCACTCTGCTGAATTAATAAATTTTTTAGTTATAGTAAATAAAGATCATGCTTTGGCTTGACGATATGTTCGGACAAAACTTCATTAAAAGGAGAAAAAGAAAAAGAAAGAAGAGGATCACCCTCCCTGTTCTTCCTAAATTTGATAGGGGAACAAATTTCTGGTTTGCATTTTATTTAAAAATACTATTTCTAATATGGCGTAGTGTTTCTATTTATGCTATGTTATTAGCATTCATCTAATAATGTCATTGATTCAGTGTGGAATTATGGTATGCAGACACCGCCGAAATCTTATAACATACATTCTAAATTTTGTAATAAGACTTCTAAAAGTGACATCACAAGATTCAGACATCTTGTGGGACAATATCTCCAAGCACATATTGATTACATAGACTTTTGCATATTATGTATATATTAACACTTATGCCCATGTCACGCAATGCACACCAATATATATATATATACATATATATGTATGAAACTAACCTGATAGCCATTCAAATCAGCTGCATTGATTTGTGCTCCCTCCTGCAACAGAAGTTCAGCAACCTGGATTGCACCCCTTACTGCACTCCAATGTAGAGCTGTTTGGCCTGTATGATCACGAGCATTAATATCACCTTCATGCTGTCAATATCGTAACAGAACTCAATCAGAAGATCACAGCAGTCTGCCATAAAAGCAAATATTAAATCTAGAATGTAAGAATAGCAATTTCTATTAACTACTTAAAAAGGTACACCGTGCCCCATTTTGACATATTATCTCGGCAAAGATAATTTAATACAGTTAAACTAAGACAAAGATGCTGACATCTTCATGCTAAAATCGAAGGCAAACATATATATAACACAATTTCATATTTTTAATTGAAGATTCATTCTGAAACATTTGTGATTTTCACAGGAATAGCTACATGTCAATCATTCATAAACTTTGCCTTCAATGCATCAACGACAAGCTCGCAATTGAAAATTGTCCAAGATTATCAACGTGATATTGCAATAAATGTAATTTCCTCCACATCCAATAAGAACAGATCGCCAAAACCCCAATTCAGAACCAATTAAGTTCCAGCAACCATAGCCAGCACGAAAGGGAAGATCGATCATACCTCAAGAATGTATTGAGCAGCGGCGGTCCGATTGTTAAGCGCCGCCCATTGGAGGGCGTAGTAGCCGAGGGCATCCGGCTCCGAAACCGAGCACCCCTCACTCTCCACCAACCGCTGCAGGTTCTCCATATTCCCGTAAGCCGCGTTCGTGTACACATCGTTCCTCAAGGTCTCATCTTGAACCGCCGCAGCTGCTTTCTCCTCCCCGCCATCTGCGAAATTCTCCGATCGCTGACCTCCCACCTCCGGCTCCACCTCCTCCACTATCTCGATCTCCGACGCCATATTGCAAAGTCCACGATAAATCGATGATGCGCACGGAGATCGAGATAATTCAAATCAACGATCAAGTATGGCGTGTGACCCTCGCTGTCTATCTATCTATCTATCTATCTATCTATGATCTATCTATCCACAATATGAATTTACGGGCAATTTCAATCGCAGAGGAATTTGACCAATTCTAGGGTTCTTCCTGAAAGGGAGGAAATTGGATAGGACTAGATTGATCAGATTTCAAAGTTTTGGGGCAAAAATGAAAGAACCAGGAAGTAATGCTTCCCTCATTTTTCGCTGAATAAAAATCTATTTTCCAAATTAAGACAAATAAATAAAAATATATTTCATAACATTGGCGTAGATCTTTTCCATATTCTAAATATTTTTATAAATTTTGTATTATATGCTTGTCTTAAATGTTTGTCGCGTATTGTTTTTAATAATAATATACTTTTATTATTTTTTTATAAAATATTTTAAAATAATATTTTTTTATCATAAATAATTATATCATAAAATTATTTATATTTTTTATCATTATTGACAAATACTACTATTTTTTATATTAATACACTAAAAAAATAAAATATACATATTCATATTTTTTATTCATTATCAATATAATATTAATATTTTATAAATATTGTGTTGATCACAAATTCGTCTCTTATTTCAGAAAAGACACAGATAATAATAAATTTTAACGAATTTGCTTAGTATTTTAGTTGGGGTATTTTTCACGTGACCTATGGTGAATTGTATCTATTATCTTTTTTTAAGAAAGTATATTAAATATTAATTTTTTCTCTTTTGTAAAAAATAAAATGTATTATACATATATTAAAAGTTGTATTTATATAAATTTGATTGGATAAAAAAATATTTTAAAAAATTAAAAAATATAAATAAAAAATAGTATTTGATATAATATTTTGTAAATATATATATATATATTTAATATGATACTCCCTTCGTCCCGCAACAAATGAACCTTTTTTCTTTTTTGTCCGTCTCATTAAAATGACTATTTTTTATTTTTAGTAAATTTATTATTTTAAACATATTTAACAAATATAAATCAATTTAATTAAATTTTTAACATCTTACATGTATGACCCACTCAAAACCCTTTTATTTCTATCTCTCATAAATAAATAAATATTTTTATCTACATTTAAAATTTTTTAGTTTTAATAAAATTAGTTTCAAGTTAATTATGAATAAATAAATTAATTTTTTTATTTATTTGTATTATATAAAATTTTATTCTCTACAAAATGATATCTATATTGTACATATTTTATTGATATATAATGCTAAAAATATTTAAAATACCAACAACACTATTCATATAAAAAAATAAAAAAATAATATTATAATTTATTATTAATAACTTAATAATTTACGGTACCTAAAATATTGTGTCCTTAATAAATGAATATATTTTTTAAAAATGAATAGTATCGTATCAATAAAATGACGTAATGTAACAAAGCCTTAATAATTGTCTTATTAGTGTTTTTGGTCTCTACTCCAATGTCTTTAAATATTGATTAGTGTAACTCATAAATAAGAAACTTTGGAATTGTTGCTATTGAATTTGTTGATTGGTCAATATGTTTGGCCGTTATTGTTAAGCCACATTTTATATTTAAAATATTTAAAGTGGAATTTTTATTTTATTTTATTTTTTTCAGCTTATGCCCTATGTGAACATAGAGACTTATGTTAAACTATGAAAATCATGCTTTGTTTTTTTTTTTTAATATTTTTTACTATCGGTCCGCTCTAAAATTTTTATTTATTTTTTACGTATTGATCTTTAAATATTAATTATTATATTTAAATGTAGTATTTTCTTCGTTCACGAATAAATTATACATTTACTTTTAGCGCGGTATTTAAGAAATAATAGTACTTTAATTATAATGGGTAGTTAAAAGTAGTGTAATGACATTTTTGATCTTGTTTTTTTTTGTATAAAAGTAATGATGTGATGTAAAGTAAGGATATTTGTGTAAAATGTGAGGTATTTAATGAAATGTTTACTTTGTAATTGGACGTCCCAAAATAGAAATGTGTATACTTTCTAGCCGGACAGAGGGAGTATAAATTAAGAAAAAAATTACAAAAATACTTTCATTAGCGTCTTATAATACTTAGAAGAATATCAGTATAAAAAATTATATAAATATAAATATTAAGTATAATGACGCAGAAGTTAAATGTGACACAGATGAACGAATAGAGTATTATTTTTTAATTGAAAAGTTATGGTATTTTTGCCATTAACTTTGCAACAAATTGGTACAAGAGTTGAATTTTTTTTTAAAAAAAAATTAGTTGGTAGATTAGGTTGATTGGTCGTTGGAAATCCTAAACCTTCCCCCACCCCACACCACCCCCTTTAGTTCCTCATCATTTTTTATTCATTTGTAATATATACATCTATATATATATAATTATAATGAATAGAAAATATTAAATTCTAAGTGTGCAAATAAGAAACATGTTGTAAAGTTAGCTCTCCCTCTTGTTGTACAATTCTCGTTCCGCCACTTAAGATCAGTAAATGAGAGGTCACAAATTTTGTGATACTCATACTATTTTTACTTCAAAAAAAAAAAGAAAAAAAAAAAAAATATTTCATATCTATTTTATATTTTAGTAAAAATAATGTAATTAATATCAAAATACTCTTAATTTTTACTTAAATTACAAATATGTCATCATACGTACAGTGAATTTCATACATTAAATCAACGGAAAAAATGTCAAAATCTTTTATACATTTTCACTAACCAATAAAAAATTATTACTCATTCCATCCCAAAACAATAGTTTCATTTTACCATTTTCGTCCGTCCCAAAACAATAGTCCAGTTTCCATTTTTGGTAACTAATTTTTCACATTTTTTACAAAACTATCATCACTTTTCATAATAATTACATAAAGTAGGGGTATTGTAGTCTTTTAAAAAAACTTTTACACCCACTATCAATATAATATTATTATTCATTAATTCTCGTGTCCATCCCAAATGTCCATATTATTTTGGAACAGATGAAAAATTTTATAATATATTATAAAATTTCAAGAAGCTCATTTGGAATGAGATGGATGAAGTATTATTTTTAAATAAATTTTGTGTCTAAATGGAGAAATATTCAATAAATTATACTCCTTCGGTTCACCATATATATATATATATACTCTTTCCGTCCTAAAACAATTGTCTTGTTTCCTTATTTAGTAATCATGGTCTCCACTCTATAACAAAATTATTCCTACTTTTCCATATTACCCCTAATTATTACTCTAACAAACTCTTTAAAATCCTTAAAAAAACAAGGACATTTTAATCATTTATATTATATTTTATACCCACTTTCAATTAAATATTATTATTCTTTAATTATCGTACCAACTCTCAATAAGACACTTCTTTTGGGACGGAAGGAGTATATTTTTTGATCCATAAAAATATGTACTTTCTATATGTAACAAAATATGTTTACCAACTTCTTAATTTATATCATTCAATATTACAGTTGTTCACAAATATATCACAATTACATATTCAATTTCTCTAAAAAAAAAAAATTTCACATAGCTACTTCATTCATATATATTTTTTAAAAATATTTTTATTTTATATTGCAATCAACTAATATAATATTATAATCATTAAAATATATGTCAAACAGTCTTGCTATTTTGATTGTGGTTTAAAATTGAATTTTAATTAAATAATATTTTGATATTAATATTGTATAAAAATATATAAATTTTTATTTAAAACTGTGTAAATTAAATAATACTATATTTTATTTTATTTTTTCCCTTAAAAAAAAAAAACAAATACATCCAGAATATTTATTTGTCCATACATGGCCAGAGTCAACTTGAGTTATTAATTTCATATTAAGTAGTGTGTGTGAATTACATATATTTTTGAAATTCTCAATCATGATACCAAATCACATTACTAATACTAAATTTGTGAGCCTCTAACCATCTCATTTACTTTTTTGTATTGATTTTTGAATAATAATTATATCAAAATATAGTATAAATTAAAAACAAAAATTGCAAAGTGTCTTACAATACTAATAAAAAGACATTTGTACAATACATAAAGATATTTTTAATGTTGGAACTGAGTCAACTCAGCACTAATTTGATATTGTCCGTTTTGGGCTGAGCCCGCACGAATTTGTTTTTGGATATCTTCCAAAAGGCCCCTTACTAGTGGAGTTCACTTGGAACTTATAAGGTGTGCAATTTTCTTCACAACTTTCAATGTAGGACTTGGGTTTGCACCCGAACAATCCTCCCTTCAAACCAAGGACCAACCAATAGACCTTCCTTACCAACCTCAATCGGGACCGACTTAACACCGCCAGGAGACTTTCGACACAAGGCACATCCGCAGGTCACGAGGGCGAGCCCACCACCACAACCAATGTCCAATGTCATCCAATCCACTTCACCATCACTGTTGGGACTGGGTCAACTTAGCACTAGTATGATATTGTCCGTTTTTTGCTGAGCCCGCACGGATTTGTTTTTGGATATCTTCCAAAAGACCTCTTACTAGTGGAGTTCACTTGAGACTTATAAGGTGTGTAATTTTCTTCACAACTTACAATATAGGACTTGGGTTTGCACCCTAACATTTAATGTTAAGTACAATGATAGAAAAGGTAAATGTGATGATCACATTTAGTTTTTTCGTCATTACACTTAACATTAAAATATTTTTGTATTTTTATAATTTTTTGTACAAATGTAATACTAATGAAAATATTTTTGCAATTTTTTTTAAATTTATACTAAGTTTTGATTTGAATAATAGGTTGAATATAATTTTTCTTAAAATAAATTAAACATATTTTTATGAAAAATTATACAATTTACATAGTGAAAAAACTAAAATTAAATTTCAAATAATCAAAATTATTGACAGAATTATTTTTGAAAATCTTAAATCATATTCACTGGACAGTTTAAAAATAGTGAGATATTCCTATGTGTTTTAAAATATGTTGTACAAAATTTCAAAGCATCTAAATTTAACAAATTGGTGGAGTATTTGTGTTCAACCACTGTATTATGTGCAGAAGTGTTCAAACTAATGAATTATAAATAATTATGCCTAAATTTTTTAATAATCATATTTGATTTGAGTTTTTATTTAATAATATTTTGATATTATGTAAAAAAAAATAATAAGAAATCATGTGAGTAAATAGTATTGAAATATATTTGAAATAAAAAAAACAAATAATTGAATTTGAAATTAAAATTTTTATTTGAGTTTTCATTTATATAATATTTTTTAATAAATAATATATACTTATGTTTAAATTTAGATAATATTTTAATATAATTAAAAAATATTAGTATATTTTTATTAAAAAATATATACAAAGGAATAGGTGTGTTTGGTTAACTTTTCGGCGAAAGTTAACACTATATTTTCATTTTTTTTTAAAAAATATTACATTATATGAAATTTATTCAAAATTTTTTCAAAAATTTTATTTATATCTCTCTTTAATAAATAAATATATATTCATTAAAACTTCATATTTATTTATATTAATCATAAATAAATATTTATATTTTTTATTTATATTATATAAAATTTTATCATCTTCTATATTAAATATATTTTATTAAAAAATAATTAAACACATTTTTTAAATTTTTTTAATTATATATATTACATTATAAATTAAATATTAATTAAATAAATCACTTCTATACCAACTTTCAAGTCAATAATCCAACCGTTAAATAATCGCACCGTAATTATTTAAAATTAAAACCAAATACATACTTAAACATCGACGAGACGACTTTGACTGTGAATTTAAATTTGAAATTCAAAAAACATAGAAGCAATTGATGTCACCGCCATTGCAGCGCGTGGGCACGTGATCCGAACGTGCAGCGGCCACAATTGCTGCGAGACGCAATATCCAAAACACCCAAAAGCGGTCGAACTCGAATTCAAAACCTTTGCATCTTGCCCCCTCCAAAACCCCCTAATATCAATTTCCCCCCACAAAAAACCCTAGAGTCAACCCTCACAAAAACCCTAGTCAACATATACAACCCTTTTCCGTATCACATTTTCGTCGCACGCCACTCGATTCTTTTGGACGCACCCGCCCCCCTCACCCCCCAGACCCCTCCCCAATCCCACCCTACCCAACAATCTCTCTCCGCTTCGCTCTCCTCTGCTAGGTTCTCTCTCTCTCTCTCTCTCTCTCCTGTTTCCCATTTCTGCGCTCTTGTTTTGGCTTGTTCTGGTTTCGGACAAGGTGCTGTTTGTGTTTTTTCTTTAGTTGGTTCGAAAGCGAATTGTTTGGGGCAAATGGAGGCTGCTAAATTGGGTTCTGATGCGGGTGCTTTGAGGAAGCATCTTGTCGTCTGTTCGTTTGTCGAGGCTGCTGTGGTGAACTTTCTTTTTGCAGCTCCCAAGTCTCTAGCTTGCCTTCTTCTGCTGGTAATTTGCCCTTTTTTGTTGAACGTTACCGTCTCTGTTTTTGAGGTCAATTTCTCGGTCTGGAGTGGAGTTTTTGCTGTGGTTTAGTTTCCAGGAACTTGTTTTCTGCTTATTTTTTGAATTCGGTGGCTTTATTGTTTGGAGGCAGTAATTGGAATTTTGTTTATGGTTAATAGTGTGTAAATCTTAGGTTTTTACCCCCAATTTATGGCTTTTTAGATTCTGAAAGTTTTTGCGAAATTAGTTTCTGAAGAGATGAAAAGAGACTGTTGAGTTTGTGAAGTAGGGCGTGGGTTCGAAATTATTGTTGTTGTCTGCTTGTTGGGGCTATGAACTCCATGGCTTTAGCTGATTTAATTTCAGATGGTGATTGTTGTTTGTGAAGCTTTGAAAATATGCATCTGGAAAACTAAGATTTGATTTTGCTTCATCTTTGTTGAAGTTAATTTTGGAATGTTTTCGACGAACTGTTCCATTGCAAAGAGTTTACTGTTTTATTTGGGGAAACATTGTTTTTGTTGGTAGTGTCTTAATGTGCTTGCACTTGTAAAAGATTGAAATTTGACAAATCCTATGCTTATATACATCGCGGCATTATAGTCTCTCTTCTATGTCCCTTTGAAGGATTTAATAACTTTGTAATCTTTTTGATTCCGGAGTGCGAAGGAGTTTGAGGATTTTTGGATACAGAGTGTGTTTTGATCAGAAAGCCCTTTTTCGAGTAATTTCTTGAAATAAATGTTCATAGTTCAGTCTGTTGTTTCTTGGTTTTAGCTTTTATATCTGGTTTGGTTTTCGTGTTCGATAATATTGCACACCCAATAATACAGATCTGGGCTGGATACAGGTTTTTGTGATTCAAATGATTGTGTTTAATTGTTGGAAGCTAAAAAAAGCTATACAAGTTTCATATGGGAATGAGCTTCTAGAAGTTCTCCGATCCATCTTCATTTTGGTTTAAATTTTTTATGATTCTCTAGGTTATACTAGTTGATGATTTGGGTAAATCATATTTGGAACTTTTGTCAAATAGAATGCTGTATTTAGTATCTACACTTTGAATTGGTGTACTCGGAAATAGTAACATTTCTAATTCGTGCATAGCTTCCTACATGTCGGTTTTTTGCAAACTTGATTAACTCAACCTCGACTCTTATCATTTTGTTGATTGAAAAACATTTACATTTACTTTTGCAATTATAGAATGTGTAGATTCCTCTCAGCAATCTAAGTGTTGTTAACAGACCGGAACGCTGCTGAACGGCGCTGGTGACTTACTGGACTGGACCGACAAACGGTAAAAAATCCCCGATTCTTCACAAAGAAATCAATCCAGCAAAGCAAACCAAGTAATAATCTCAAAATGGACAATTTTTGCAGGTTCCCAATGGAAGAGCTTGCGAGATGCGCGAAGCCCGGGCCAGAAAACAAAGATGCGAGCGACACAGAGGATGATAACGAAGATGACGACGAGGAAGCAGAAGAACCTGACGAAGATGACGACGATGCTGGCGATGAGGACTTCTCGGGCGGCGAAGAAGGTGGAGATGACGACGAAGGGGATCCCGAGGAGGATCCTGAGGCTAACGGCGATGGGGGAAGTGACGACGACGATGAGGATGACGACGAGGATAATGGTGAGGACGACGAGGAGGGTGAGGAGGAAGATGAGGACGATGACGACGAGGAGGATCAGCCGCCGGCGAAGAAGAGGAAGTGAACAGCTTGGGGGCGGCGGCGGGCCGCCGGAGAAGGAGTTAGCAGCTTGTTTGTTTTTACTTCAACAGAGTAGGAGATAAGATTTGATCATCGTTTTCGTGAGTGAACTGAAGTGAAGTGAATTGCATTTCATCATTTGACAGAATTTCTGGATTTTTAAGTTATGTTATGTTAGTTGTATGATTTTTAATTTTATGTCTATTGTCTATTTCTCTTGTTTTCACCAGAATTTTTTTTGCAGGTGCATCAAAATTATTCTCTATTTTTATAAAAAAAATAAAATTAATTAAGTCTTGAATGTATTAAGTAGTGATTGAATGTTACTGTTTAGATTTGTAGTATACAGATTTGCAGTATAATTCAATAAATTTGCACTGGTGTTTAGAATTTGTGTTAATAAAATTATCATATTGAGGTTTGTCACAAATAATTCGTCTAGCATAACTTGTCTTGTCAGACTTAATTTGTAGGGTATTAAATTCAGTCGAAAACTAATATAATTTGTCTTATCGGACTTAATTTGCAGGGTATTAAATTCGGTCAAAAATTTATCCAGAGTACAGTCGTCGAGTAGCAGCCGCAGATTCTTGCATTATAAAAAAAAGTCGAACTTGATTTTGTGCCAATTGACTCAACCATCGAAACAAACATCTTGGAGTGGATCTCCAATCCAAATTCGAGGACATAAACTTATCGTATATCTAAGTGTGTTTGTTTTTTTATTTCAAATAAAAAAATTCTACTATTATTCACGTGGCACAGTTTCTAATAAAAATTAAACAATATTCTATTACAAAATATCACATCAAAATATTATTTAAACCAAAACTCAAATTATGGTTCTAATTTCAAACCAAAACTTTAGGTCCATCACATCTCAACAATTTATTTAAAATCTTAGTTAGAATCAAAGATCAAGTCATGTATACCGGGAATTGATGAACAATGTACCAAGGCATAAAGCAGAATAACAACTCAGAAGCAGCTTGTGTATCCAAAAGATTTCAGAGAAACCGACGGAGATGAACATAAAATAGCTGATAAACCACAAGAAAGCCTGACAACCGTCCCCGAAGCCATTTCAAGTTCCATTGGATCCTTTTGGTTAACTTTGTTAAAATCTCCGGCCAAATAAACCTGAGACAAGAAACAGTGTAGTAACCATTATCGTTTAGCGCCATAAAGAGAAAGAACCACAGAAAACTGCGCTTGAAATGTCGTAATACATAAATTTCACAGATGGTCTCCAAATATGGTTGTTAGAACATAGATGAAAAATGATAAAGCTAATTATCATAAGCATAGCTATGAAAAAGTTCAAGCAGTACAAATTCTTACTATCATTTGATCAAAAACAGGTTTGATTTCATCGGTCTTTTAAATTTAGATAATAGATAATAAAAAATAGGATCCACAAATTGTTGAATTAATAAGTGAAAAGTGGTGCGTGCACTTGTAGTAGTTCTATATGCTCGTAAAAAAGCCACAAATACAATCAAATGAATCCACAGCCTTTTGCTACGGTCAATAATCCATGTTGCCGTCCATGAGATAGGAAACTTTCAAAGGAATGCATTATCTTCTGAACTACTCTGACACATCTATGAATGCATTCACCGTGTTTAGATCTTATTTTTTTTTGAATAAAATTAGATTCAGTCACACAAATAACCAATTTTCTTTTACTTAGTATAGCAACATCGTTTTCTTAGATAAAAATAACAAATTAAAATTCTCGATAATCAAATAATTTCCTTTAGTTCATCTTCCAATTTAAATTCAAATACAACATATTATAGTTACATAAATTGTACTACCTCCGTCCAACTCTAAATGCCACATTTACTTTTTGCGTATTGATTTTTTAATATTAATTATTATATCAAAATGTAGTACAAATCAATAAAAAATAACAAAAATACTTCAATTAGTATCTTATAATACTAATATAATGACATTTGTAAAAAAACATTATACAAATATAAAGATATTTTTATTGTTAGGTACAATGACGCAAAAGATAAATATAATCTTTAGAGGCCGACGGAGGGAGTATATAATATATCCTAGGACGGCCGTTATGGTTCTGATAGAGATTATTCACCACCTTGCTGACATGAAGTATAGACTCGTAGGAGATAAAATATTAAATAACACACAAGGCGTACATTAACATAATATATGCAACATATGTGATAGTCCAAACTACGCATACTATATAATTGATCTCAACACAAAATGTATATTAACACAACACACACGAATATGAATTGGCCACAATGATAACGCTATGTACAACATGACAATTTATATTAATCCCCAATCAATACCTTAATCATTCCCATATCTTGTAATCAACTACGAATCTTACATCCAATTACATCGTGCAATTATTCTATAATCCTTAAGGTTATATCCAAGATACATGAATAAAAATCACTATTTACTACCTTAAAAAATCAACAAAGATGCACTCAATTTCGCATTCGAAACACTTCATAAACACACAAAGGCAATACCAAGTATATGCAAAAAATCGATACAAGGCCAAAGTATTAAAAGGCTCCAAACAAACAACTAAGAATAATCCATAAAATCCTTTAACAACCCATCATTACGACAACCTTTATCATTCAAAAATTAAACTTAAACAAACAAATTCGAAAGCAATATTTAGCCAAGCACGGACCACATACATACATGTTCATGCAATCAAGCCAAGCAATAAACTCAATACCCAAACATTATCATCAAACTTAAGAACACTTATTCGACGTAACAAGATCATACTATCACTTACTACTCGGGAAGCTTCCCGGCACGAAAAATGGCAAACTTTGACATCACCGAATCGGCATAGTCGATCCCATTTTCCTTAAAGAGCTCCTCCATCATCGCTTTAACCCTCTCCGGCTCCAAGCTCTCGCATTCGACTTCATACATGTCCCCAAAGCTGTACTTAACTTCATCCACCTCCAATTTCACCCCTTTCCATTCATACACATTCCTTATGTTCCTAAACCCTCCCAATCCCACAAAACCCTTAACCCCAAATTCCTCCTTCACCCTCCTCAAAACCCTAGAATCCAAATCGACCAATTTCTGAGGTTCCATGGCGCATTCCTGACCGGCGGCGGGGTTCACTTCCTCCTCGTCTTCCTCGACTCGGCTGACGCCATTTTCAATCACGGCTTTCGCCTTCAGGCAGGCGAAGCATTTAGGGGGATCGGTTTTCTCGTGGAAGCGGAGGCGGAGAACGGCGCGCCGAGAGCTGAGCTCGGCGGCGGAGCCGTCGAAGAAGGTGTTGTGCTGATGGTGAGTGGCGGCGTGGAATGGAGCCAGTAGAGAAAGGAGGTTCTGGTGGGAGGATTTGTCTCGCAATCGGAGCTTCACTTCGACCTCCATTAACAATCTCGAAAGAGAGGAAGGCCGTATTTTTTTGAATTGATGAATCGATCTGAATGGAGGAAGGAAATAGGGGTGGGTGGGTGTGGCAATTTGGGGTTTAAGAGGAAAGGCCGATGCGCCGGGACTTGGTGGAAGAGTCGACGGCGGAGCGGTTGAAGTAATCAAGGAGGGAGGAGGCGGTGGTGGTGGAGGAGGTGGCTGTGGCTGCGGCTGCTGCGGCGGCGGCGCGTTTGCGGGCTTCTTCGAGCTCTTCTCTGTCCTCAACGCTGACGTCGATCTTGGTAGGCTTTCTTCTCAGCATCGCGGCGCTCACTGATTGCAGTAACGGACCATCAAATTCGTTTATGGGTGTGTTTGTTAGGGGTTTGTATTATTTATTCATTTGAATATTACATATTTTGATTTAAACTAAGTGGTAATGCTTTGTTGTAAAAAAGAAAAAAAAAAAAAAATCGAGACTAAAATCTTATTGAAGAAAATAAATATTCAATGATTATTATTATTTTTTTTTGTACATTAAAGAAATGATTTAAGGGAAGACGAGTATGTAAGTATCTAAATAATGTAGCTAATAATCAATGTTGTATTCTTTTGTAGATCTTACCACATATTTTTACAGATTATTTTTATTTTTTTTTCTAAAAATATAAAATTAAACAATTAATTTTATTTTTAATATTATAATATAAATTTATTTTATATTCAAAAAATCGTATCAATACCTATTTTTATCAGACTGTCACAAATCCAACTCCTACATCATCAGACCATCCTTTACGGGACATAGTATACTTTTATTTAATTTAAAGAATGATGGTGCTATGCGTATACTTGTGCCGATGATCCACCATGGATATAGTATATTTAGATCGGTCATTTGAACTTGTGGGACCTAAAGGAGATGGGAGAAAACGGTGAAGTATCTTTCCATGATTGATTATTTAAATTAACTATATGAGACATGTTTCCTCGAAAAGCATTTAAGAAGAGTTTTTTTGAAATATTTAGATTCAAGAGCTACCATGCTGTTACAATAAGTTCATAATGATGTTTTTGCCTCAATTAAATCTCCATTGGGTAAAAAGCTCTTACTTCATACTCTATGTTGATGATTATAATAGAAAGACTTTGGTCTACTTCTTAAAACAAAAGAGTGAGACATTTGATACTTTTAAAAATTTCAAAGTATCAATTGAAAGAAAAGATGATTATAAAATTAAAATTTTGAGACAACTGATGAAGTGAATATTTGTCAAAAAAATCACAAAAAAATTGTGATTTACATGATATTTAGTGACTTATGTATCAAGATCACCTTAACAAAATAGAATTGTCGAGAGAAAAATTTGAATCATTCTCGATATAGTAAGGTCAATGCTAAAGTCCAAAGGTATGCCAAGAAATTTGTAGGTAAAACCCGTATCATATGCTGTGAATATAATATCCGTGATTGTCAATGATGGTGGGTATCTTCAATGTCAGATGTATTTGAATTGCCTTGGCAGGAGTAAATACTCTGTCTTGGCAATTTATGATCGCATATGAACTTGTCATCTTGAGATCAGGGGTTTAAACTTCCGACGCCTCCGACATATTTGGTTTAGAATTTTGCTTCCTAATTTATCGTTGATTAATCTATTGATTGGTCGGAAGTCTATTGCGAAATTGTTCTAAAAACATTTCTTCATTTACGTTTTGTCGTCAAAAGTGAATTATGTGCAGTTAAGGTCAAGCAAGGTAGTTGATGACTAATACATTATAGGCGACCAATATTATATCATGTGTTGCTAGTTCATGTGTATGTTATGTGCTTATAAGAGTATGTCATGTGCTAAAATCAACTGTTGTATGTGTTCTGTGAGATTATATCATGTGTTGTTAATTTATGTGTTGTGTATGTATTATATTAATATAAATGATGTGCTGTCAAAATAGTAATATCGTGTGTTGTTTGTTAGCACGTCGGGTGCTCTTTATTAAGCACTGTAGCTGCAACCATGTATATATATAAATACAAAAAATCATCTATTTGAACTTTAAAATCTATAATTACGAGTCGCTTTATTGAATACAATTTTCCATCCGTAGAAAATAGCTTATCCTCGTATCTAAAGTTATAAATAAAATCTGATCCACATTTTAAAACGGCAAAAAGCATTCAAATCGCACCAACTCCGAATCTCTAGCACTTCTCTATATATTCGAACATTTCTCCACAATCATTTTCATCGTCTCATTGTATACATCACCGGTAATCTATTTTCTTCGCAATTAGTTTCTACGGTCTTCAAAATGAACGGCGATGATTGGAGTCTTTCCGCGGTGGTGAATGGCGCCAGAGCTGCCCCACACCTCAATGACCATCCGGAAGATAATCAAAATCCTAATATCAACTATTCATCACATAATATTTTTGAAAATAATAACGAAGATTTTTTTGTTGGAGACTATACTATCTCTAGCTGCAGCCAAGCCTACCAAGAACTATGCTTCGGCTCTCCGCCGCCGGTGGGGCCCAAAGATATCCCGCCAATACAATTATCTTCATCTCTGCTCCCGCCGTTGCAATACTTCGATCAATCCCAACACAACCAGTTTGGGATGACAATGCAACAAAATTTTTCTCCGACGTTTACTGCTGTTCAAATTCCTGAAAATAACTTTCGGTTTCAGAGTAATGCCCCCGCCGCCACCGCCACCGCCGCCACCGCCGCGGCTGCCGTATCAGGGCCCTTCATCAACTTTCGGCAGCCTTATCCTCCACAGGCCAACCGCCATCAAATAAGGTAATAACTTTTGAGTATGTTTGATTACTCATTTAGTTGAAATTGAACGCTATAGTCTTGATTTTTATTTTTATTTTTTAAATATTACATACGGATTTACTCAAAATTTTATATTTTTAATTTTCTTTTAAATAAATAAATATATTTATATAAATTCAAAATTCTTTGTTATTTTCTATAAAATTAATTTATATTAATCATATATAAAATAAGTATGCTTTCACTTCTTTATATAATATAAATTTTATTTTTTATAAAATAATATTGATATATAATAGTGAGTGGATAAAATATTTTATCATAAATAAATTATATATAAGTTAATTTAGCAGATAAAAATAATTTGATATAATTTTGGAGACGGAGGGAATGTACTATGTTATAAATCAAATATTTATTATATAAATCATCTTCATGTAACTTCCAACTGCAATTTGGCCAAACACACTCTTAAATAGTTGGTCGCTTTGAGTGACTATTTAGTGCATAAAAGAGCTAAAATCATGTTCGAATGTTGTAGGAAACCCCCCAAGCAAGAAACTGTGGTGGAGAAAAATTTGGAAGAACTAATGGCCGAATCATGGGCATGGAGGAAAGTCGGGCAAAAGGCCATCAAAGGATCTCCTCATCGAAGGTCTTTTTTTTTTTTTTTTTTTTTTTTTTTTTTCCAAATAAAAATGGTGTTAGAATTTAGTATCTAACAAATTTTAATATAGTTCCTTACATGAAACCTTAAAATCATCGTTTGTTGTTGTAAAAAACATGCAGGATATACTTTCGTTGCATTGCTTACAGGGGCTGTTCCGCCAAACGGAAAGTAGAACAACATGCGACTGAGGCCGAAAAATTCATCGTCACCTATTACGGTGAACACACTCATCTCATTCCCCGTCTTGGCCACTAGGAGTGTGGCCAATCCTCGGACATGGAGTGCGGTAGAGACAAGATACGGCCAGCGGAGGAGAGAATCAAACTAAAGGGACTACTTATTAACAATAATATATATATATATATTTTTGTCGAAAAGAAATTAAATTAAATATCTATTTCATCTTACAAATACATTATGTCTAATATTCAACTTTTTATCATTATCAAAATTTTCTAGAATTTCATTATTAGAGTTATTAATATATTTGCTTTGGTATTGTGCCTTATAATTTGATTTTGATGTAATATTTTTGTTCAAAGTTTTATAAGTTACTACGGATGTGTTATTCCACCAAATTTTTTTTCAAAACTCCTCTTGTTTAACATAAAAGATATACAATATACATATATTTATACAAAATGTATAAATATATGATATATATTCACTTCATAAAAAAAATCAATAATTTACTACGGAACATAATTTTATATATTACGATACTTCCTTATGCCTAACATAAAAAATAATTCAGATAAAAATTACGAAACACTATATATGTGTATATATATATATATTGTTACAATCTATTATGTTGCACTAAGTTAGTCTCTTACATGCCCTAAGATTGCACACACAAGTGCCGACTTAATGATAAAAAGATGATCTCAAAATAAATAAAGAAATATGAATAAACCTAAAATTAAAAGAATTAAGAAGAAGAACACGAACAAGAAAAATGAGTATGCGGAATGATAATAGAAATTTGAAATGTTAAATAAGTGTTTAAAATCCGACTCTTGATTTTGTAATTTTAAAATCAATTAAATTGTCAAACAAAATAAGTAAATTCCAAAAATATATTTATTATTATTATTATTATTATTATACACAATCTATGAACTAGCTAGATGTGTCTTAAACTAAATAGAAAAGTTTCACAAATGACCATTCGCAAATTATATTAATTTAGAAAAAAAAAAAAAAGATATTCTGATCTTAATATATTCAGTTTCCTTTATTTATTTTTATTTTGACTTATATTTGAAAATAGAAAAAAACATTCAAATCGCACAAACTCTGTGTCTCATACTTTTCTATATATTCGAACATTTCTTCATAATCATTTTTATGATCTCACAATATACATCATTTGTAATTTGTTGTCTTTGCAATTAGTTTCTACAGTCTTCAAAATGAACGGCGATGATTGGAGTCTTTTTGCAGTGGTGAATGGCGCCAGAGCTGCCCTACACCTCAATGGCTATTCGGCGGATAGTCAAAATTCTCATGTCAATTATTCACCAGAAAATATTTATGAAAATAATATGAGAATTTTTTTGTCGGAGACTACACTATCCCAAGCTGCAGCCAAATCTACCAAAAAATGTGTCTCGGCACTCCGCCGGTGGGGCTCGAAGATCTCCCATGAATTCAATTATCTTCATCATTGCTCCTGCTGATGCAATACTTTGATCAACCACAACATAACTAA